ATTTCCAATGTAACATTACGGGTACATATCCTGATGTCAAAAAGGGATGAATGGTAGAAAAAAATATAACTTAGTGAAAGTAAGAGAATCTGTTGCCTGCTTCACACAAGCTTCACTATTTTCTCTCCTTTTAACAGAAATTATTATTTGACAAAATTAGGCTATGGCAAAAAGTTCTAAAATCTAATTCAATTTTTTTTTGTTTCTTTATGGACATATGTAAATATATAAAAACTTTTCTGAAATAGTTAGGAAAGTCGTGTGAGTGGACACACCATATTTGTTCGCCTGGTTTTTCACGTTAATCGTATTTCACGTATTTCACGTGTGCCCTAAAAGGGTCTCTTGACTCCAGCGTCGATTCACAGCCTATAAAACTGTACTAATTTTACTTATATATATAATTATTGGTTTATTCATATACTATAATACCTTAGATCGTATACAATGGAAATATATTATATCATAAAAGATATTTTCTTTAAGATCTAAATTAACTTACATTTTTAAGAGAGTACAAAACAATGAGTCTAATAAAATGTTATGTCAGTGTCGATACGAGTATTTCCTGTTTCAAAGGACCTTTTATCATACCAAACTGATAAATAGTTAAAGTAAAAAATTAAGGGTTTGTATCATTAAATTTCCAGTCTGTGCATGTAATGTATACTTCGCTCAATTAGTGAAGGCTGGGCTGAAGAGTGGGGGAACATACATAGAACGTAGGAGTGAGAAGGACTTTTATAACTGGGCACACTAGCGGATCCAGGATTTAATTTTGGGGGGAGGCTTCAGCCCGAAACCTTTTTTTTCATAAAAATAACGATAATTACTTTGGAAAAACAGAAAGAAACTAACTACCTATATGAAGTGGTGTTTAAGTTATTCCTTAAGTACTTTTAAATGTAATTACACGAACAATAACAGTTTAAGAGGCATTTTTTAAATTTTTTTTCCCATAAAACATGGTCATATTTTTCCATTTTGGGGGGGCCTCAGCCCGAAAGCCCCTCCCGCCCCCCGTAGATCCGCCCGTGACTGGGCAAGGTATGGTATATATTGGGCTGGCAAATAAGTCCTTTCGGTTTTCTGTTTATTTTTATGTCACTATGATACAGTTCTTATCTGATGAATTAATTCCTATGGTGGATTGTTTATCCCGTTTGAAATATGTCAACAACTATATCTTTTAACGCTTGTTGAAACTAGCTTAGTATTTTGTTTGCTATTGCACTGAGAATATGAAAGAAAAAATCATTCAATATCTGCATATTTTGTTGTATTATTTTAAGTAAGCGTTTTGCAGAGGCTCATGGAAAAATTTGCAGTGTTTATGGAGATGAACCAAACGCACATGTCAAAATTGGTTTACCAAATTTCATTCAGGAAATTTTGACATCGATGATGTTCAACGGTCTGGTCGTCCACATGAAACTGAAACGAGCCATTTCGAGAGATTGCCTATGGCCCTAAATGCGTTCCACACAAGCGTAAAAAACCATTTGCACAAGCTCGGCTATGTTTCCAGGCTTAATAATTGGGCTCCTCACATAATTTTTTTTAGAAGATCACAAAAAATGTTATAATTTCAATACTACTTTACGACGAGCAGGACTTTAGGGTCACATAAACTGACATCAACAGGACCTTCATAAGCAAACTACAAATGGAAATACAAAATAAAAACCTATAAGGAGTTTTTGTTAATTTATTCATTATGTTGGCATTAAATCAAAAAACCATTCATACGGCTTTGAAGAGCAATAATTCAACTTTCCAACAGATATAGTAACACCGAATTTGCAGAACATCCTGAAGAGTTATGAATGATCGGAAGGGTGTTGTGTTCCACCAAGACAACGCTAGGCCCCACACCTCATTGGTTACTAATGAGTGTCAAATAAATTATTGAGCCTTGGATGGGACCTTTTTCCCCATCCACCCTATTCACCAGACGTAGCTCCAAGTGCCTACCACTTATTCCGGTCTCTGCAGAAACAGAGAAAATTAAAAGTTAAGGCCGTGCTAATGGAGACTACAACAATGTTTTATTTTTTACTGTTATTATTTTTATTAGTTCCTAAATACACACCCATACACCTATGTACATATATTCAACTTAATTCTATTAATTTTCAAATGTTCATAACCTAAATAATTTATTTATATTTTATTTTATGCAATTTGCACCTACGCATCTAGCAAATTTGTTGTGTTTTTATTGTCTTGGTGTAATTGTTTTGATTTTTTTATGTTGATGATTTTATTGATGCAGTAGGTCTCTTGGCCATTTTCTTCTTAATCTTCGTTAGTCAGGTAACAGGGAGCAGGAGATAGAAAGAACCAGAGGATTGGAGTGATTTTGGGTTGAAGAATGAAATGTAGTGTATTTGTCTTGGATGTAGGATTTTACTGTTGGGGTGTTTAAGTCGTTATGTATAGTAGTATTCGAAATGTACCAAGGTGCGTTAACAATTTTTCGTAAAATTTTGATTGTGCTGTTTGTATTTTGTTTATGTGTGTTTGTTTTGCTGAATCCCAAAGTTCTGCTCCATATGTCCATATTGGTGTCAGTAAGGTGTTGTAGATCACATTGTAAGTTAAGTGAAGATCTGTAGTCTAGAAGATGTGAAAGTTGGCTATATCGTCTAGTAAGTTCTTGTATTTTTAATTTCGTATGTATTTTCCAAGTAAGTCTTTTGTCTAAGTAGAGTCCAAGGTACCATACATAGTTCTTTGAAGGCACTGGATTATTGGCAATCGTTATAGGTGGACATGAGGCTTTCCTAAGAGAGAAACTGACGTGGGTGGATTTTTCACTATTAATTTTGATTCTAAATAATAATAAACCTAAATAATTAAATATTAATTAATTCTAATGCTTGATTTATAAATATAGGACAATAAAATTTGGAGGCCACAGTTCCCCACCTGTGGTATATACAATTGGTTGGAAACCTTTTCATCATTAGAAGCCGCAGTAAAGTTATTATTATTATTATTAATTTTCTCTACAGTCCTCAGTGGACCTGGAAGTCAGAAACAAGCCTCGGCCAGGCTTCCCTATCGGCAGCTATTCTTCTCCATCTTCCGATACCCATGCGGCTGAGGTCCTCCTCCACGTCGTTGATCCCCCTCAGCCAGGGTCTTCCCCTAAGACGTGCTCCTCCTGGAAAGGCCAGAAGTTTCCTAGGCCACCTTTCCTTCTCCATTCTCTCTACATGGCCTAGCCATCTGAGCCGGCTCCTTTTGACAGTGGCTACAATGTCATCATTTTTAAACAGCTCATAGAGCTCGTCGTTTTTCCGTATTCGCCACTGGTCATTTATTTTCTTCGGACCGTATATTTTCCTTACGACTTTTCTCTTCCATATTATCAGCAATCTCTCACTTTCCTGTATCAGAACCCACGTTTCACACCCGTAGGTAATGACTGGCCTTATAATGGTTTTATAAATTGTTACTTTTGTATTCAATTCAGTTCCTCGGATTTCAGTATTTTTGCCAGGGCAAAAATACACTTATTGCCAGCTGTAATTCTGGCCTTTATTTTGCATTTTGCATTTTGTTCTGGTCAGTGACTATTACTCCGAGGTGTTTGAATTCTGTTCCCATTGGAAAGAGGTGCTGATTAATTTGAACATATTCATGCATAGCTACATTTTTCCTTGAAGACTTCATGTAAAGACTTTTCCCTTCGTTTATCAACTCAGGCCAAGCTGCATTGCTGTTGCATCGATCCCGACAATGTGCGAGCGCTGATAAGAATATCTTCCGCGTATGCAAGACATTGAGTAAGTCGATTGAATATATTCAATTGTTGTTTGTTGAGCCCCAAAGCTCAATTCCATGAGTCCAAATAGGTCTTATTATTGTCATATATATGAGTTGTTTGTAATTTATTAAAAGCTTAGAGCGTTTGTCTAGTAAGTGCTGCAATAGTCTTAAACTTCAGGCAGTTTCTAGTAGTTTCAGTCTGCTATGGGGGTTCCAAGTGAGTCGTTTGTCTAGGTGGAGTCCTAAGTATCGGATTTGTTCGACAGGGATAAGAGGGCTATTGTTGAAGAATTCTGTAGGACAGGAAGTCATATGTTTACGGCGAAAAGTGAAGGTAATTTGATGGGATTTACTGGAATTTATTTTAATCCTCCAGTTTTGACACCATTTTTCAAGACTTGTGATGTGTGATTGAAGAGTTTGGGATGCAATAGATGGATCGTTATTAACTAATAGGATACACGTGTCATCGGCATAGGTACTCTGAAAAGTTAGGCAATGATAATGCAGGCTGCGATATTTTTTTATTTTATAGTCTATTTTTATTTTTATTTATTATTGAATACTATTCTATACTTATATTCAATTTCATTCTATTAATTTAAAAAAAATTACTAACCTGAATAATTAAATATTAATTAATTCTAGCACTAGATTAATGAATATCGCACAAAAACAGAGGCCGCAGCTAGCTCATGTAGGTCACATGAGGCCTCAATGCCACAGGGCACGGGCGGATCTACGGGGGGGCTTTCGGGCTGAAGCCCCCCCCCCAAAATGGTAAAACGTAACCATGTTTTATGGAAAAAAAGATTTTAAAAATACCTCTTAAAGTGTTATTGTTCGTGTAATTACATTTAAAAGGAATTAAGGAATCACTTAAACACCATTTCATATAGGTAGTTAGTTTCTTTCTGTTTTTCCAAAGTAATTATTGTTATTTTTATGAAAAAAAAAGCTTCCGGGCTGAAGTCCCCCCAAAATTAAATCCTGGATCCGCTAGTGCCGCAGGGTTCCAACCTGTGGTATATACTGTATATTCAGAAGGTAGGATACAATTCATCAAGACCATTTATTAATACCATTAAAAATTAAATCCAGTAATTCTGTCAGTTCATTTTGAAATATTTTTATTAAAACAATAACAAGCTACTAAACATATCCATAAGTACTGTGGAGGAAAAAAGCTATAATAGAACTAAACAGTTTAACTTTTCGTTTCATTAATGAATATTGATTTCATTCGATGGAATTTTGGAAAATATTTGACTAGTTATTTGAAATAACGCTTGTGACAGCCCTTTAGAAAAAGATGGATTCAGTTCTTTTATGATTATTTCAGAATTTTCATTCAAGAACGTATTCATATTTTCACCTATTGGACAAATAAAAATAATATTAATACACATAATAATTTTCAATACATAAATAAATAAATACATAAATCACACATATTTAATTTTTTGCATGCATGCCTTAACTTAATTAATTATAAAAAAAAAACAATATTCTTCCTTTTTTTTTTCATTTGTTTCTTTAATTATAAACATTATAAATTAAATAATATTTATCTTAATTCATGAATTAACTTATCTGGATTGTACAATGATGGTACTTTTTTTTTGTGGTGTTAATTGGAGGTATGAGTCACTTATTACAGAATGATTTTAAGACAAATGCAATTATATTAGTAAATGGAATATTTGAAGATACAAATTTGTAGCGTAAACAATCAATCAATACATTACTTATGTTATTATTAGCAATATAATTATTATTAGATGTTCAGAATTTTTGTTTATAAAATTTTAAATTTATGTTGTTTCTGCAGTGAAACATATTTTTCTTCCTTTTTTTTCTTAATTATAAACATTATAAATTAAATAATATTTATCTTAATTCATGAATTAACTTGCCTGGATTGTACAATGTTGGTACTTTTTTTTGTGGTGTTAATTGGAGGCAATTTACCATATTTTGCTGGCAATATTTAAATTAAATTAGAGGCTATGTTGCCCAAGCATATATCAGTTTCGCCCCCTTTATAAATCTCGAGACTAGCATCGCTCAACCTAGGTGGGTTGAAATTTATTTTGTGCTGGACCCACATAATGAATCTTGCCCTTCCCACTTTGGTTAAAATACGATCGGTTATAACTCTTATAACCTCTTCTCTAAATAAAGCTAATTTGGTTTGATGGCTTTATACTAACAATTTTTTTTTTATATGAACACGGTATGTTGCAAACTATAAACAAAACTAACAGTGCATCAATGTAAGCAATATTCTTTGTTGTTCCTCTTTTAAGTATAATTACAGAAAGATTTTCCTTCATATATTTGCCTGAAGGAAAACAGTCTTCTCTTATGCTTAAAAATATGCCCTTATGATTTATTTGTAGTGATTTCAAACAATATTTATAGAATCCTGTGCTAAAGTGATTGTCTATGATTTTAAAGATTGATATGGTTTATAGCTACTGATTCAGAAGAAATCATTAGATTTTATTAATGTTTAACCTTCAGAGATTTATTTTATTTTATTTTTTGTATTAAAGTATTATTATTATAAAGAAAGGAGATGGCCCGGGGTGTTGTTCATAAATAGACTAAATAGTGACAAAACTAATTTATTGCCACTATTTAGTCTATTTAAGACTGACTCCCCAGACCATCTCCTTCCTTAATAATACAACGGTCAACTATTAAGTATTCAATATTATTATTATATTTCTAATTTGTTTTATGTGGTAGATTGTATTCTTCAATAAAAACTGAAATTGACAAAAAAAAAAGTTGTCATGGTTTGCGTTTACAAATGAAAAATGGGCTACACTTTTATATTATTATATAGTATATAATAATATATTAGTCCATTTATAGTATATTATTATATACTATATACCGACTTTTTACTTACTCAATACTTCGTCCCCATCAAAGAGATTTTCAAAATAAAATGTTGCATTGTTTGGATTCACGATTAAGTTCAATGAAGACACATCAAAGTATTTTTTACCTTTATTGAAACTTTCTTTTAAATGGATGGTTATATTGGCTTCCATCATATCTATAAATAAAGAAGAATAGATTTGTAATTTTCAAATTAAACAAATGTAATATAACTTTTAAAAAGCATAACTACTTTTAAATAATGAATAACTAAATTTTTAAAAACAAAACATTAATTTTTTTTTTTTTTTATTTATTTATTAATGATATTTACAACTGTATTACAAGTAAAAATACATTCAGTAAATGTGTACAATAGAATATAATAACATGAAATCATTTGGTGAGAAACTACCCACTGGTAGCACTCTAAAAATGTATTTACAAAAGGAGATCTCGAGGCCATCTTCTTTTCAGACGCCTCGGAGGGTTGTCAGGTATCGAAAAGGAAGCAAGGTTAGAAACGAGAGGGTTAGGATGGTTCTGAAGTTTATTATGGAAGGAAAGGTATCTGGATTGGGCCAGGTCAGAAACATAAGGAACATTAAGGTCGTTATGGATGATTTTGTTTGTGACAAAGTAAGGAGCTGTGAGGATTTTACGAAGGATTTTGGATTGTAAGGATTGGATGCGAGAGGAATTCGATGGCTTAGTGGAGCCCCAGAGCTCAATTCCGTAAGTCCAAATAGGTCTTATTGTAGTCATGTATATGAGTCTTTTGTAATTGACTGGGAGCTTAGAGCGTTTGTCTAGTAAGTGCTGGAGTAGTCGGAAACGTCGAGCTGTTTCTTGTCGTTTCAGTCTGGTATGAGGATTCCAAGTTAGACGTCTGTCTAAGTGGAGTCCAAGGTATCGAATTTGTTCAACAGGGATAAGTGGGGTATTATTAAAGGATACTGTAGGACAAGAGGACATAGGTTTACGACGAAGGGTAAACGTGATTTGATGGGATTTATTGGAATTTATTTTGATCCTCCAGTTTTGAAACCATTCTTCAAGGTTTGTGATGTGTGATTGAAGGGTTTGGGATGCAATTGTTGGGTCGTTATTAATTGATAGGACACATGTATCATCGGCATACGTGGTAATAACAGTGTTAGGATGGGTTGGGATATCAGCTGTATAAACTGTGTAAAGGATAGGACCTAGGATACTACCTTGAGGAACACCAGCGGACTGGGAAAAAAGGGATGAATAGGCATTATTATGATTTACTTTGAAGGATCTATCAGTTAGATAGGAACGGATAATGAGGAAGTATGTAGGGTGTAGGAATTTACGGAGTTTGTAAAGCAGTCCTGGGTGCCAGACTCGATCAAAACATTAAATTTAACATTCAGTTTTACATAATGATAATTGGTTTACTTTGTTTACCTGCAATATTCACAAATTAGTTTCTTTATCATTTGATGCATTTCACTATACTTTAAAAAAATTGCCAATTTATTAATTTATTATAGGTAAGCAAGACAATAGTAACCTGATTAGCGACAAATATTTACCAAAGTGTAGATCAAAGTCTCCATTTCCTGATATCGGTAGGGATAATACTTTGCCATTAGCTTTGTAGTTCCCCGTCATATCAAATGTTTTACAGATAGCTTGTCCTTCAAGTGTCTTCCAATTATTATTCCTAGAAAAATTAACTTATTAAATATAATAAGAAATTTTCACATGTTAAGTTGCAATGTTATTACATTGCACTTATTAAAAATTTATCTTTAGACGATTGGAACTAAAGACCAGTTTGTAAATACTGGTACTGGTACTGCTGGTACTTCTACTGGAGGGGGGAATCAGTTCAGCAAGTGGACCCTCTTGTGGTTCTTTTTGCCAAACCCTAGCAGCTACCCTACCTTGAGGTTGCACGCGTAATTGCCAGAATGGTAATATCAAGATTCATTTTCCAGAGCCGCCAAGAAATGAAAATTAACCAACCCTGGTGGGAATCAAACCCACAACGTTGAGAACAGGGCATTCTGGGACTCACACCTCAATGTGCTTGGCCATCCCATCCTCAATTTTTAAATAAAATGTATTACTGTGTTTCAATGATACATTTTTAAATTTGCTACTTTTAACTAAAAGTAAAATGATTATTGATTAATGCAGAAAGCCAGTTTAACATTAAATTACTAAATCATTTTAGTTAATAACATAACTGAGTACAGAGGCAAAAATGTCAAAAAAATGAATGCACAAGAAAAATTAGAACAAAAATTAAATAAAATTAGCATTACCCAAGTTGAATATAGATAATTATTATATTACAAGTTGGCCCTCGTTGGAGTGCCCATTCTTTCCTTCCCCCAAGGTCGATGACTTAACCCCTCACTCACAAGATATTTTATTGCTTTTATCTTCATAAAATAATGAAAGCGAAAGTAGAATTTAAAAACTCGTAGATCAAATAATTTTACACTTTTTACAGTCTATTCTTTGTTTACCTCTTGTATTCTGGTTCGAAACTTTTCAAATGTGCCTCTCTCCAAAATTCAAAAAGTCAAAATAGGCTTCCCTAAAAAACGTAGATGACAAAACCTGTGCTATGAAACCTCCTTCGGTATACCTCTTGGCTCTTATGAAGAATTTGTAGCATATTGGTCTAAGATTGGTGGAAATAAGTAAATTTAATATATTATAAGATAGAGGATTACTTTTTATCCTTGGTCAGTTGCATCTGTCTGTCTGTAAACAAAAACATGTATACAAAATAAAATAGGCTGTATCTGTGTTAAAAATGGTCCAATATGGATTTTTTTTTTTTAGTTTGGTAGGAAATTTGGAAAAGTTTCATAATCTATATTCTATGCAACACCATTCATTCTGTGTGTTTTTTTAGTTTTGCTACACCGTGGTATATGGTGTTCTATCCCCCCTCTCCCTTCCCCCTTCATACATTGAACACTGTTATTACGTTAAACAAACCTTCACCTCCTCCCCTCCCCCAAATATTTCTTAAGTGCTGACCCCTATGCTAGTTAGAACCATTATGTATTTTTATATCAATAATTTATTTAAGATAATGACTATAAGATAACTTTAAATTAACCTTTGTCTTCAACCAATCATTTATTTTTTTTTTTTTTATTTTTTTTTTTAATAGTCGGCCCAAGACTCTCACTGAAGTCCTATCCTGTCTCTATAGTTATATTAAAATAAAATGGAGATATATATGTGCATTATTATTATTTATTTTTTAAGACTATTTATTTTCTGCTTAATTTAACACAAGTGTTAGAGAACCATGGGTGTAGAGAGGCATTAGGTTGCATAGAGGAATGAATGATTACACCTTTAATTAGATCTTATTTGTAAAAATAATTATGCAAAATAAAAAATCCTGTAAGTATTTCTCTACAATCAGAAAACAAGTAAATGTAATTGTGATAAGTTTTCCTATGGTTCTAAACATAGGATTTATAACCCTAAAACTATTAAGATTGGATGAGTTAAATAATTAAGAAGAAAATTAATATGAATATAGTAGTTTTGAATGCCTAGGCCTTCTATAAACTTTCTACAAAGTTTGGAAATACAGTAATTACTGTTATTATTATACGCTTCAACTAAATATTTATAACAAATTTTATGTAATCGCTTACTTAATGGCAGTCGCATTGCAGGAAGATAGACCAAAGATATCCAAGTCTTGAAATTCCAATTTAACACTAACTGCTCCCGAGCCTTGGTCCATTTTCATTGACATTATTCTGAGAGGATCTATTGGTCCAATTCCTAGTTGTTTATTTCCTGATAGAAAAAAATATCATAACAATATATTTAGTGTTTTGAATCCCTTATTTAAATATAAAAATAAAGGAAGCTAAATATACATTTTTGAAAGATAATTCCACCGAAATAGGTTATTTATCAAAAGAACAGAGTTTTACTTGTAGGACTGAAAACACCTGTGAAGAAGTAGAGCAATTGAAGAAACAAATAAATGTCAATTTAGCCATCGATTTCTGGAAACAAAAATTACTAGATTTTTTTTATACTTTGAATCTGTGAAGTTTCTTACTATAATAGAGCTTTTATAAATTTATTAAGCTGCTTATCTTCTTGATTTGTTTACTCATTGATCCTTTATCTATTCTTTAAATAAAAAATCTCAGCCTGTAAACCTGTATATTCCTTCTAATAGAATTGTTTCCTTTAAAAAATCCTTTCTCACGCATTTCTCACGCACCTCCATACACAAAACTTCAACTATAATTTTTTTTAAACACCACTTATTTCTCTATCTCTTCAGCTATCAATCTTTCCAATAAATTATGGTAAGCATTTAATTTTTGTATTTTAGTTTCACCTGCCTTATTTTACTGTTATTATTTATGTGGCTTTCTAGTGTAAATATGTAATCATATTAATTCATAAATATTTAATTACATTTATTCATCTTTAATTTTATTATTTATTTTGTTTACTCATGCTTGATTTTTTTTAAATTTTAATGTTTCACTACTCCGTAGTTTAATTATTTCTTGATTGTCATTTTGTGGTGGACAAATGTAATTTCTCCTATTTCATTTTCATTATTCTTAGGGGATTTAATATCTCAGAATAAAATATTATTAAAATATAAATAATTATAAAATAAGGCTCTGTTTATTTTTTCACCACATTTATTTTAATTTTCATAGCTACATTTCGGCCGGTAAGTCATCCATAAAATAAACACCATTAATTCTGTATTTTAATGTAATTTTGCACTCTATGAGGGTGTATTAGTCATATTCAATTAAACATTCTATAAATTATAACTCTAATTAGGTTATGTCAATTTTTTTTATTTTTTTATTATTTTGTTTTGTAATAAACTCAGCCAGTTAAATTGTAAATTAACAAATACCACTAGATAGAGTGTATTTTTTTATATAAATTATTTTAGATTTTAAAACTTCCTTACTTTATTCAACCATGCTTTTTGTATGCAGTCCAAAGTCTAATTAAATTTTAAGTTAGAAGGTTGCACATTGTTATAAACTAATTAGAGTTCTACTTTATAAAATGTTTAATTGAATATGACTAATAACACCTTCATAGAGTGCAGAATTACATTAAAATACAGAATTAATGGTGTTTATATTATAGATGGCTTGAGGATGGCTTACCCGCCGAAACGTAGCTATGAAAATTAAAAAAAATATGGTGAAAAAATAAACAGAGCCTTACTTTATAATATTCAAAATTGTCACCTTAAACAAGCACATATGAATAAAAATAAAAAAATAAAAAAATATTGAAATGAATGAATAATTTTATCTTTAGCTAAATCTGTTAATGATATTTTATACGAAAAAATCAACCTGTATCACTACAAATCATAAAGGGTCTTTGGTTAAGTACTATTTAGGGAATAGTGTTTCTTGGTTAATGGTTGTGCAAGGAGGTGATTTGACTGAGATCACACTCAACCCCCAGATTTTACATCTTAATTAATTATTTTATTAAGGGTACCCACTTTGTAGAGGCTGTGCCCTAGGAGGGTCTCCTTACCACAGGGATAAAATAGAATAAATAATTTATCTGCCATAAGCCGGGATTCGAACCTGGGAGCTTTGGAAGCTTAGTCTTGCCACTGAGCTACTTCTCTCCTTATGATATTTTATACTGGATAAAATTTGAATTAAATTTTTGGATTCACACATCACAGATAAGAATGTCAATAAGCAAATATAATGATTAATTATGATTATTAATATTTCAGACTTTAGCAAGGAAAGTTTCTAGCATCACCTCTTCCCAGTCTTGATTGAGTCCCTTGATTTTAAGGTCATGAAAAGAGGTCTATCATTCTGCTCTTTTATTTTTTTTTATCTTTGGAAAATGTTGGTCTATAGTTTAATATGGTTTATTGTTGATAATTTATAAAAGTATTGTTATAAAAAAGGAGAAAAAAAAAGAAAGGAAAGATACGTCATAAATATATAAAAAAATAGAAAAATGTAATATAATCGTAATGTCCGTATGGATTGATAAGTATGCTGTATTTGAAGCAACCCTATGTAGTAGGGCACCATTACTTTTAATAAAGTATTTCTCTTTGCTTCATAATCGATAGGTCAACAGCAGCCATATCGATGGTAGATTGTATGTAGAGCTTAGTTATTTATGCACCGTGGAGCGTCAGTTGTTGTTCTTAAATTTTTGGATTCAAAAGATTGTAGTGTTTGTAAGTGTGTCTGTTTTGTTGAACCATAAATGTGTGAGATGTATGTTCATAAGAGTTTTTAGTATGCATTTAGTTTCCATCTAATTTTAATGATCTGGAAAAGGCATGCGAATAAGTTCAGTCTTTCTTTTCATTTTTGAAGTGTGGCTTGTCAATCATTTGTGAAATGTTTGTCAAAGGTAAGCGTTTTTGGAGGGTGATGTCTGGAGGAAAAGAAAAAATAGGGAGCTCAGTTCTCTCTATGCAGACATCGACGTAGTCACGTATATTAAACTGGCCAGACTAAGGTGGGCAGGGCATGTGGCCAGAATGAGCACCGTTGAAATACCAAAAAAAATAATGATGGAGGAGCTGCACCTCGTAAGACGGGTAGGAAGGCCGAGGACGAGATGGTTGGACAACGTGGCCTATGATGCGAGAAACCTGCTTGGTGTACGGAACTGGAGAGCTGCAGCAGAAGACAGAGCCAACTGGCGGAGGCTCTTGGAGGAGGCCCAGTCTCGGTAACGGGATGTTGTGCCACAAAAAAAAAAAAAAAAAAAAAAAAAAAAAAAAAAAAAAAAAAAAAAAAAAAAAAAAAAAAAAAAAAAAAAGCGTTTTTGGCACTCCCACTACACTCAGACATCTTTACAAAGTTCTTCTGGCAATATTAAAACCTTGACTAAGTTGTGGGACCACGACTTTTGTTAACAAAAATAAATAAAGCTTTTTCTGTGAATGACACATCAGTTGAATTGAGCTTTCTAAGAGAAAAGACTCATATAAGAAAGTTGTGTTTGAGTGATTTACTAAATTTCATATAATTTAATTTATTTTTAAAATTTTATCTTGTAATTAAAGAAAGATTTGCCCGCAGAATTTGAAGTGGATAATGGATTGAGACAGGATGATCCTCTATCTCCCATTCTTTTTAATCTTGCCCTGGAAGTGACTATTCGTTCTAAATCCAGGAGGAACAATCTACAATCATATGTCTCAACATCTGGCATATGCTGATGATGTTGCCATTATCTCTAAAACCCAAGCAGCACTCAAAGAAGCAGCGGCTAAACTGCGCCTTAGACAGAGTTAATGAAAATAAGACAGTGTATATGAAAAATTCAAAAATAGAAAAGGAAACGAGTACAGAAATAGCTTTAACACAACTTTAAGCCTGTTGACCTGTTCAAGTTCCTTGGAAGCCTGGTCACAAGCAATACTAAAATAGAGAGTGCAATAAATGCCAGGATTGCAGCAGGAAATAGATGCTATTTCTCACTGCAAAGAGACTTGAATTTCAGACCACTCTCTAAAAGAAACAAAATTCTCATATACAAAACGATATTAAGGCCAATGGTTATATATGGAGGTGAGAATTGGACCTTAACCAAAAACTCAGAAACCATGCTCAAGTTCTGAGAGAGAAAAATATTGAGAAGAATATGGGTTGGAAAGAATGCCAAAGAGGATGATGCATGAGAAGCTGGATGGCAAAAGAAGTAGAGGGCGCCCTCGGATCAGATGGTTGGAGGATGTTGAGGACGAACTGAGGCAGCTGAACGTTCAAAGATGGAGGGAAGTAGCACAAGACCGGGGAGATTGATTGGCTGTAGTGGAGGAGGCCCGGGTTCTTGCAGGACCATAGCGCCATTAAAATAATAATAATAATAATAATTAAAGAAAGATTCGCGAGACATAGTTTTGATACCTCGGAAAGATCTTGGATCTTGGAAACACCTTATTTCAAGGCGTACTCTGTCCATCTGAGAAATTTCACTGAATTAAAACAAAATATATATCTCCTTTTTAGAGTGCTGAACCCGAATATTAAGTTAGTTTTTTTATTTTAAAATTTTTTGAACCTTGTTCAATTATTTTTAATTTTATAGTTATTTTGGTGTTATATTTCTTTTCCATTTTTTTTTTTTTTTACTTTTATGTTGTGTTTTTTTAAAAACAAATTAAAATTTTACCAACTCATCTCGTGATCCACTTACCATTCTTCAAAGATTGCAGAGCAGCATTAACAGACTTCAAAATACAATCATTAGATCCAACTTTGCAAGCTTGCCAATCTTGGGCTGTTAAAACAATAAATAGTATCAATACAAATAATGAGAGACAAATAAAAAAGAGAATACATGATAATAACTTTATAATCAAAAGATTTCAAATCAAAGCTTTATATATTGTACAGTTAATTACTAATTTTTAAACATTTAGGGATGGTTAGCTAAATATTTTTCGGGAAAGAAATATTACTACTTAACATCAGAACAAACAGCAAATATTTCATAGTTGGAATGGTGTTCAAAAGAACTGATTATTTTTTACTGGCAGGATTCCTTGTCATGATTCCTTTAGTATTTCTAAAGTTATTCTTACAGTTAAAACAAATTTTTACCATATTTACAAATGTTTAAACTATTTTTAGAATGAGTGCCACTTATGTGGTATTACTGCAGTACCGGCAACCAAACTGCGAAATCTAAAATTATTCATAAAATTCGTCTTAGAGGATGAATTTCGACTATATTTTTGGAACTTTTTATCGGAATTATTTTCCCACGATCCAGGAAGGGGAGGGTACCCTCGCCTGAAAACACTTGTGCTGGTCACATTAATAATTTCTTTTATATTACATTAGAAAATTCACCTATGAGGATGAATTTTCCCTATATTTCTGTTTGAATAATATTTTTATTCCCTCTGGCAGGATCCGCTAGTGTAACCAGCATTGTCAATATAGATTGATTAATACTTTTTTGAGACTTAGTTAGTAGTATTTAGTAACTTAAATAGAAACGCACAACACACTATAATAATAACATCATCACAGGAATGGATTAATCCTGTATATCTATTTCCAATGTACCAAATAGTGTACAAGGCCGAAGTGGAAGAATATAAATTACAACTATACCAAACTGGTAAAATAAAAAAATAAATATCGTCAGAAACTTCTACTTCTCAAACCAAGGAATTATGATTCCTGGTTAACAGCCTGATGAAAGATGGCGACTACAAATTATTCAGATGTATAGATGGGTGATTTAAGCTAAAGTTTAAGGAGGAGATCCTCATGACAGTTAAAAGCTCCTCTGGCACCGGGACGCGAACTTGTAATTATTTTATCTTATAACTTGTATTATCAGGTTGCACACGCGTGAGCCCGCTCGGCCCTACTCGGTTTTTTCGGGCTTGAGGATGTGTGCAGAAATTTAAAAGATTTCCCCAGCACTGTGGCGCCAACCCTTGATTATACTGTTCTCAGCACAGGCTCAGGTAGGTCTTTCGACCTACCAAAAATATTCAATATTATCGTTGTTTTCGTTTCATAATAATTATATAGAATTTGTACTTCTTAGTGAAAACTCCCACTTTTTACATTGCCTCCTCCCTCAACAATCCATATACAGTAATCACACACTTCTACACTAATACTAAATTACTTACGAAGAGCAGCCAAAGAGCTTGCTGGCCAAAGAACTAAGTAGAGAACTGAAAACAGAACCATCGTGGAAAACTGATGACAACTTGCTACCTGGAAGGGTTTATATCTATCTTGTTGATGGTGGCTCAAGGCTGCGTCTTTTGTATATCGAGGATATTGGAGACAGAAGATTGCAATAAATTATAATTATTGTATAGCTATTTACTGCGACAGTGATATAGACACCTCATTCACATTCAAACTTCTCATTTTTCAAATATATAAGCCGCACGATCTTTTTGTGTGATAGATATAAAAAGAGATAGGATTAGCTTAGATGAAATGAAAATAGATTTTTATTATCCTGGGACTTTTATCCCTTTAGGATAAATTATAGATACAGAGGAAATGCCTGTGTGGCCATAAAATTAAATTAAATATTTACAATACTCATTAAATTAAAAATATTGGAAGAAAAATAAAACAAAAACACTAAATGCATAGAAATATATACAATACTAATGTGTGAAAATAAAATAACATAATTAAACAAAACCATTTCTGGGGAACTTAAAAAGTTATTATGATCAATCGGGTTGGGAAAGAAATAGGTGTTTAAAAAGGAGAGATTTGAATGAGGAAACTGATTGCGCATGTCGGATATCGGGAGGGATGGTATTCCAGATGGAGACGGCTTGAATTATAAAGGATTTGTCAAACGCAGCAGTTCGGTGAGGAGGTGGGTAGAAGTCAGAAGTACGGGATCTAGTGGGACGGGATTGAATGGAATATTTAAATTGTAGGCTGTGAAAAATATAGGAAGGCCGCTGAGTTCTGGTGGCTTGGTATAGAAAGGTAGCAAGGAAGTACAGACGGCGGTTGGATGGATAGAGCCACTTCAACTTGGTGTAATACTGGATTATATGCGTATCTCTTGAGATTCCGAAAACAAAACGTATTTCGCAATAGATCTGTAAGATAATTAGTTTTTATACTTTAGCTCAAGTGACCAGATTTAATAGTAGATGAATACTTCTATATATGTGAATTCCATATTGTACATCGGCATGTGATCTGGCCGGATATTTTTCTTGTTTGTTCTCTTTGGTATAGAGATCATTTTTAAATTTAATTTTAAAACATAGTTTAGTATTATTATTTTTAAAAATGTGTATTCATTGTTTTATGTGTATTTATTCATGTATATTACTGACAATTTTAGATTTTACATTAATTTGGTAATTGAAACTATTTTAACTGTCTGACCTCTACCGAATAGGATTTTTAATTTATGCTTAAGAGTGTAGTAATGTCTGTTATGTAGTATAAAAAGGAATTAGTATTTCCAGAAGCTTAATAATGTTTGTTGTTTTGTCATAGACTCCATTTTAATATGGTTCTTCCCTCAAAACAAATAAAGATTGAATGATACTTTTATATATATGGCTATAAAAATAGAAAAAAAAAAGTACCCTATGACCAACCCCCATTTTACAAATTATACAACTCTTCATTTAATTGTACTACTCTTGCATACATTTTATAACTGTAATTTACATGTATTCTGTAGTCCAGATTATTTTTTATCAACATAAAATAAACCGAACGTTGAATTTTGCTTGTCATAATTATATTTCTTACAAAAATGTCTTCTATGCAAGTAAATTAGAAGAATATAAGGCAGTCTCACGGGCGATGGTTAACTATTCTGGGCAGGTCTGAAGTTTCCAGCAATATGATGTGTTGGAAAAATACAAACGATATTTTATAAAAAAAAAAAATTGTTATTCTTCCTGAGGTATGCACCTAATTATATTTTGGCGCATGAGACGGGTATCGCCTCTATATACGCTTATATGCTAAAAATACATTTTGATTACATTTTAAAAGTTCTTAAGAAGCCTGATTTCCGTTTATTACACATTCTAACAAAAGAAGTGATCAAAATAAAGTTTTTTGGTACCGGAAGTGGTTGGAATTAGAGGAATTTTATCATATTAAGTTTGATACTTCCAATACCGCTGACCTACGCTGTTAAACATATGGTTGAAAAATCGGGAAAAAAACTCAATCTCGAAAAACGTCTGCAGTCCAATTTTGGTTTATTATTTTCAATAATGAACCATTGTGGACGAACCAAAAATGCAAAAACTTAACCCTCTCTCAAAGTTTTTTTGTACGTGGTCCGAACGTGTTCTCCGAAACTACTCAACCGATTTTTTTCATCTTTGGATTTTAAGTCAGAGGTCACTCGAGAATGATCCGTCTTTTCCTTTCAAGATGGCTGCCGAAAAACTTGCGTTGCTATAAACTAAACGAATGTACCGATTTTAATGAAATTTGGCTCAAGTCCTCTTCTCAAAGCCCTTTAACTTTAACTATATAACATACTTCAACGAAAAGAAGCAACAAAAAGTCACGAGAGGTGGTGAAATTAGATTCTGAATAACTCAAAAAGTATACACTTTTTTGTTGATATGATATATAGTAATTTTAAGTTTAATTTTAAAGTTAATAAAACTTCCTAAAAAAATCGTTAAAATAGGACAATTTGGAGCAAAGATATGGTCTCTAGTTGTATGCATGTTCTACTGCAAAGATTGTATCCTTTGTTTTGTATTTTGATTTTTGAATGTTTTAATGAAGTAATGCTATTTTTTTTAGCAAATTACTAATGATGAAAACAAATGTTTAGGTCAATTATTGCAATCACCTTTTATTTCTTTTTCTTTTTTACTCGGAAGGTAATGTTACTTTAGATATATAATTGTTTGGAAATAGTAAACCATTTAGAAATAATTTGAAGCGTTTTTCTTTATTTGCGGGTTTATGGGATTTTGTATCATCCTATCTCAATGGCAGTTTTGGTCTTGTATCTATAAGTTCAGTGCAGGAGGGTAATGATAATTGTCCGGTTTGTAATTCCGGGGGGAATTATACACATTATAATGCACTTACTGGGGTCTCGTTATATCTTTAGTGAGATCAGGGAATAATATTTTGGTTGGCAGACATGTTCTCCGGAGAAATTTTTAAGTCTATTTAGAGGTGCTAATTGGAAAGCCATGTGTAATTATACACAGCAAGCCACATTACAAAGAGTCCAGTTAGTTACTTTGTGAGTGTTTAGTGAGATGTCTTTGTTATGGATAGTATTTGTTTTTGTTTATTATTTATTATAAAAAGGTATTTTACCTATTTATGTATTTACTACTTATCATTATAATCCGTGGTACAGACTCCTTTTTATCGAATTATTAACATCCGGCTGAAATTTCGTAAATAGCTTCTTCTCATCGTAACCTACAAATATTTTATTTACGAAAATTTTTGGAATTGTGGCTTTTTCAATCTGGAGGTCGATAAACTTTGTTTATTTAATTCGTAAATACCCGTTTGCTTTCCACTTTAATCGTAAGATATCTTGAGCACAAAGTCGAGAAAAATGGAAACCTTAAAAAATATTGAGTCGTTTGGTCTATATAACCTCGACATTTTTACAATTTGGGAGTATAGGTCACGCCAAACGACTTAATAATTTTCTCGACTTTGTATTCAAGTTATCTTACGATTAAAGTGGAAAGCAAATGACTATTTACGAGTTTTTAGTATGTAATTAAATAGACAAAGGTTGCCAACCCCTAGATTGAAAACACTCCGAGAATTTTCGTAAACAAATTATTGTTAGGTTACGATGAGATGATACTATTTACGAAGTTTCAGACGGATGTTAGTAAATTGATACAAAGAGGACTGTACCACGAACTATTATTAATTATTGTTTTATTGGTTGTTGGTCAAGTTTAGCTAACTTTTAATGTTTTAAAAAAAAAAAAAATAATAATAATAATAATTCTTTTTCGAAGAGTGGAGAACTGGAAATTTTGTTTAAAGTGTTAATAATAATAATGTAAAAATATCATTGCTCATTAATTTATATTAAATGAAATTGAACATATTTTGTAGATAGGTGCTACAGAACTCGACAGACGGAATTTTCTATTGTCTAGCTGTTATAAAATTTATATGAATATTAAGTTTTGTATTTATTCATAAACCGAACGAAACCACAGTTAGAACAAATTTTTAATTTTAAAAAAAATCTATATCATATAACGCGGCTTATCGCCAAGTTATATTATTATAATTATTCTAATTTAGATCTGATTCATTAATCTCATCTAATTTTATGTAATTTAATATAGTGGTTTGTAATTCGGTCCCTCGGGCGGTGATTGTTTATGCTGGGCAGGTTTGGGGTTTCGAACCCTTTGAAGTTTTGGAAAATTTTAAAAAATAGTAAAAAAAAATTACTGCGTCCCTAATTATATTTTGTGGCACACGAAACCGGTATAGCCTCGATATACTCCTACACACTTAAAATTAATTTCGACTATATTTTTCGTTTGCCACATATCCTAGCGAAAGAGGTGATAACTAAGAGAGTTTATTGGTACCAAAAGTGGTTAGAATTATCACTCATCAACTCGGAAAATTGACTGTTGTTAAACATAGGGTAGAGGACTTATAAAAACAAAATAACCTTCAAAAATGTCTTCATTCAAGCTTCTCTGTTTACGCAGGACTATGTTCAGTGGGCACTGTTGTTACATCCTATCTTAATGATAGTTTTAACATCGTGACTATATGGTCAATTTTTCGATGTAAGAGGGTATTGCTCGATTTAAGCGTAAAACAATGGATGGTGGGGGAAATCGATTGCTTTCTGGTATGTAACTATCAAGAAAAAGAGGATATCATTCACTTTTGGAGGACTTGCCACATGTTGAGTGAGTTAAGAAAGAAATGTTTTGGGCAGCGGACCTGTTCTCCAGAAGAATTATTTGGTTTCTTAAAGGGTTCTAACTGGAAAGCCTTAAGCAATTATGTACAGCAGGCCACATTGCGAAGATCTCAATTCGTCAGATAGTAAACTATTAATACAATATCGTGTTTATTTATTGTAACGTTTGTTATATTGTATTTGATGGTTATTATAATTGTTGTTGAAATTAAGTTTCTTATTTATTGGATTTAGTGGACAGTGAAGAACAAAATTGCTAGAATGGATGTATAAAAATATAATAATACTGTAGATATATTATTGCTTATTTATTTTAGTTATAAATCTGATGAATATTTATTATTAATTACACACAGACCTCGACAGACGGAATTTTCCATTGTCTATGTGTTGTTGCTTGTATATGTATATATTTTACTTTGTGTAATTTTTTTAAAAGTTTAATAAACACGTTTTCATTCATTCATTCATTATTCTAATTGCCAATTTGTAACCACTTGTCCAGCTTCTCATATGAGCCCAACAATAATTTGAGTCTTTTATTTATAATATTTTCATTGAACGTTATATTATTCTACTTATTCTATTTCATAATGATACATGCATCCCAAGGTTCAAGATTTGCCCTATTATAAAATCTTATTGTTCTCCTCTTAAAAATATCTTAAGAAAGTAAGTAGAGTTAGAGACATTGTAGATCCATGTTTTGTCTTGTTTCTTGGATTCAACCGTCCAAAATGAATATATAAAATATTATAATTCTGCCGAGAATTCAGTACCCCATACAAATGTACTCACCTCAAAAATTCAAAACTTTTGACGGCGCAACTTGCGCCATACGGCCTTGTTCTGGTCACTCGCGGTCTATAATAAATCGCATAAGTACGAAAACCGTTTCATTCATCTAAAGGTTTCGACATTTTGTTGAATATATAATAATCAGTAATTAACTCTAAATAAGATATATTGCATATAAATATACTCGTATAGGATCCTGTCACTTCCATCGGGCAATAATTTAAAATTGTGAAATTCAACATTCAACTTCATTTACATTTTAAATGGTACTATTGCCATTCATTTAAGGTCCATTTTTTTTTCTCTTATTTTCCGAACGCGATAGAATATTGCACTGTACCGAAGGCCAACAGAAAGTTGTTGGGCTGCCTGCTGTTTCCGTTTTAAAACCTTAAGAACACAATTATGCGATTTTCGAAGAAATATTTTTGAAATGAAAACTCCTTTTGGCACGCTTTGAAATTTTTTTGTGGGCAGTAAATGAGATAGAGCTGTCAGGCTCGGATGTATAGTGCTCATTCGGGTGAAGTCGAGTAATTGAACTGTTTTTGAATATGGATTAAAATATCTCAGAACGTAAAACTAGGATCTGCATATTGTAAGCGAGGAAAATTTTCAGCGTTTTATCCTCTTTGTAATGATAATTCAAAATTGTATTTTGACATGACGTCGAGTTGGAGAGTCGGAAAGGGAAAAATATAGAGCCGAAAATCAAATAATTATGACTGATTGAACATTTGGAGCAAAATATTTCAAAATTTTAATACCACAGGGAATTCAGGAACCAGAGTATGATTCAAATGACGATCAGTAGTGTTGCACGAAATCGGTCTTAGTCTTGCACTTAGAAAGACCAAAGCCGAGATCACCTAACTCTTGCAAGACCAAGACCAGAACTTGTAAAAAAAATCGATTTTTAAAATAAAAAATAAGGCAAAATAGTCACTAATATTTGATAATCTTAGTTACTATATGTTAATAATTGATATAGCCAATATAATTTTGCATTTAACTCCTCTAATCTTTCATTCGCGCTTAGTTAGGTTTCTCCTATCTAAAAAAATGCAGTAATATTTCTATAGTAATAAGCTAATAAGTAACTGCAAGACCTAAATTGAGTTTGCCAGACCAAGACTCGTCTCGGTCTCGCCTTAGGGCAACATTAACTACGTTAGAATGAGATAAGTTTACTAGAGTAATTCATGTACAGTTATTATTGTATATAAGCAATATAGAACAAAACATAGATTTACACAACTATAATTATATAGCTTTGTGGTAAGGCACTCCACTTCCCATGCTAAAGGTTCCAGGTCAGAATCCCGGCTCATGGCATAATAATTATTTATTCTGTTTCATTGGCTGTGGGGAGACCTTCTGGGGCAGGGAGACCTTTCTGGGGCCCACTCAGCCTCACAAAGTGTAGTGGCCCTAAATTAAATTATTGATTAATGGGGAAAGCCAGGCTGTTGAGCGTGATCCTGGCTCGATCAGCTCCCTCCACAGCCGTTGGCCTTGAAACATTACTTTCCATAAATAGTTCTAATCCTAGACCCTTCTTGGGTTTAAATAGTACAGGTTTTTTTTATATATATATATAATTATATAATTGGTAATTGGTTGACTGTCGTGGATAATGAAGTGAAGAATAGTTGGGGTGGTCAGTCAAAAAGGAAGACAAAAATAAATGATAATATTTATTTTTACATATGCCGACGTTTAGACCTGAAGTTCAGGCCTTCATCAGGGCTGTCTCCTTAAGTGTTGCAGGGAGAATGTGGGGTGAGGAGATTCCCCTGCAACACTTAAGGAGACAGCCCTGATGAAGGCCTGAACTTCAGGTCGAAACGTCGGTATATGTAAAAATAAATATTATCATTTATTTTTGCCTTCCTTTTTGACTGACCACCCCAACTATTCTTCTCTTCATATAATTATATATATTGTAAATATTATTAGTTCATGAATATAAAACAAAACATGTATATTTCCTATTATTAATCTCTCCTTGTTGATATTTTCACTTCTATCGTGTGGTCTAAAGCACGCACCCCAGTTTTTTTTCTTTGGAAAGTTCATGTCACTTATCGACCCACTTTGGATCAAATGTGCTAGAATTCGGTGTTTATTACACGAGGAATAACAGTTTTCCATGCAAAACATTATTATTATATTGGATGACAAACATGGCCGCCTACATTAAGGGATGGATTTAGCATTAAAGCTATAGTGTCCTTATAGCATTAAAGTAAAGTATTGTCCAAAATATTTGGGTCGTAACAGTGCAAGTCAATCAGAGGATATACACGGCTACAAACGGCTACAAATAAATTCAGTGGTGGATTAGTGTTGGACTTATGAAACTTGCCTGCATTTGTGCTAAAGTTATGGACCAACAAACTTTATACTTTCTCGATTTATTTACTCCTAGTTCGTCTATACATTCGTTCAACACGAGCTACACAAACCTGTTTGTTCCTTCTTATAGAAATGTTTTCTGTATAAAATCCTTATGTCATACGTGTTATGCTTGCTTCTTGGAATTCCCTACCAATCTCCATACGCAAATCGCTCATCCTTGACCTCGTTTAAACATAATCTTATCTATCCGCCTCTCTTACTAACCGCGATATTCGAATCTTCCGAATATGTATAAATAATGTTAACGTTTTTCAGACCTGTCATTCGCATTCAATGTTATCCCACGGAAATTATATATTATCCAGATTATTTATGTGTACAAATATATGAACATGCACATCTGAATTTATCTACAGTGTTATATGTCTACCAGTTCCTTTTCTTTATTGTAATTTTAGATCTAGATAACTCTGTAATTTAATTTATCCCTAATGCTAGACAATTGTCATTAAATTGTATATTGTAGTTATTCTAAGGAAAATTAGTCCCAGAATAAAATTTATTTTTCTTATTCTTCTTTTATCACTTAAAAAGCCAGGAACTGGTGGACCAAAAATAAATAAGTAATATAGAGAACACTATAAATAAATAATACAGAACGCCACGTGAACTGCACCCGATGAATATAATTATACGATAGCTGTGAAGTGAATAAATGCATGTAAAATTTATTTTAAAAAAATAACAAAAAATTAATTTTCATGTTATTCCTTTTACCATTCGATTGAATACGATAAATTACATAGAGTATGAATCCCATTAAATAACCTTCAATAAATAAATTAATGATTCAAAGAATAAAAAACACACTTTATGGTTCTAAAAGTTTATTTAACGCTAAGTACAGTAATCACAGAAGGTACAAAAATTGAACATGAATTCATACTACTTTACATTAATTTCATTGGAAGGTATTTTGTAGAATATTTGGTTTGTGATTTGAGTGAATGCTTGTGACAGAGCTCTCGAAATGGCGGGCTTCAGCTCTTTGAAGATCTGTTCTCCGTTCTCGTTGAGGAATGTGTTCATGTTGTCAGCTGTGGAAGAGCAAGATATTATTATTAAATTAATCATTAAACTAAAAAAAAATTATAATTATATTTTAACAATGTACATTTTTATTTTATTTTTTTTTTATCTATTTATTGAATAATAATACAATCAGCCACTGGAGGGCTATAAGTATTAGGGCTAAGAGTTCTCATTCAAACAATATATACAAATAATAGAGAAATAAATATAAATATAAAAAGTAAATAAATAATACTGATGAAGAAAGAAAATAAAAGAAAAAAAAAATAAACAATAACATAAAAAGAAACTTATAAACACAATCATACCTATATACAATATATACATTCGCCCAAGAATCTCCGAGCCAGGCTTTTTCCCCCACATGTGGAAGGCAAAGCAAGACTCCAGGAGATTCCAGTGCCACTTTTCCAGCCGCATCACTGGTATTAGAAGCCAATGGAGACTGAAAGAGGGCACTAGAGCCACAGACGCTCGGGACATGAGTGGAGAAGCTGGCCATTGCCAGGACTCCAGAAGCATATTTACAAGAGATCTCTGGGCCACTGCCGTTTTAACCTTCGTGGAGGATTGTAGGGATGAAGGGAGCTGGATAGGGATTGAGCTAGAGGATTTGGATGATGGATAAGGTTTTGGTGAAAGTTTGAGAATCTGGTTGGGATGATGTCGAGGACAAATGGGATGTTAAGGTCATGGTGTAGGGTCTTGTTTGTGACATAATATGGGGCATTGACTATTGTTCTAAGTACTTTGGACTGGAAGGATTGGATGCGTTTGATATTCGAATGTTTAGCAGTTCCCCACAGTTCAAGTCCGTAGGTCCAGATAGGTTTCAGTATGGTCTTGTAGATTAAAAGTTTATTTTCAATCGAAAGATGGGATGTCCTACTTAGTAATCTATACAGCTGGCCATATCGTCGGTTAAGTTCTTGTCTTTTAAGTCTGGTATGTGGGTTCCAAGTTAGTCTTTTGTCAAGAAGGAAGCCAAGGTAACGGACTGTGTCTGAGTAGGGAAGTGGAATTGAATTAAAAAGGATTGACGGACAGGATCTGCGTCGCAGGGTAAAAGTGATATGTTTGCATTTTGATTCATTGATTTTGATGCGCCAGTTGTTGCACCACTGCTCAATCAAAGAGAGGTGAGATTGTAGGTTTAGAGATGCTATTTGAGGATCTGAGTGGGAAGATAGAATGGCAGTATCATCAGCAAATGTAGCTAGAAATGTATCGGGATTGGAAGGGATATCGGAAGTGAAGAGGATATAGAGAACTGGGCCCAAGACACTGCCTTGTGGAACACCAGCCTCAACTGGATAGTAAGTGGAGAATGCGGTGTCACAACGGACTTGAAAGGAACGATTTGAGAGGTAGGATTTGAGGACTAGGTATAAGGATTGGGGTAAATGGGTTTTGAGCTTGAAAAGCAAGCCATCGTGCCACACCCGGTCGAAAGCTTGTGCTACGTCCAGAAAGGCACCAGTGCAATAATGCTTGTTTTCAAGTGCAGAGGATATATGGTCCACAACACGAAGGCCTTGTTGGACAGTGGAATGTCTTGAGCGGAATCCAAACTGATGAGAAGGGATGTTGTGGGATTCGATTATGGGTAGGATGCGTTTGAGAAGGATTTTCTCAAAGATTTTTGAGAGGATCGGGAGTAAGCTTATCGGTCTATAGGATGATGTGTTATTAACAGGTTTACCTGGTTTTGGAAACAGGATGATTATGGAATGTTTCCACACCAAAGGAAAGTTGGTTGTGCGAAGGATGCAGTTGTATAGATAGGTAAGGAATATGATTGCTTTTTTGGGAAGTTGTCTGAGGATTTGTGAAGTGAGGAGATCATATCCAGGGGATTTTCGGGGTTTTAATTTGTTTATAAGGAATTTGACCTCAGAGGGGTTAACAGGTTTTGGAGGTAGAGAGAGAGGAATTGGTGAAGAGAGGAATTCTTCAACTTCAGCAGTGTGGCTGGGATGGAGTTCGGGGTGAGGGGTGAATGTGTAGGATAAATGTTTAGCAAACTCCTCTGCTCTATTCGCATCTGACGAAGCCCAGGAACCATCATCACGGCGAAGTGGATGGGAAATGGACTGGAATTTAAGGATTTTTTTGGTTACGTTCCAGAGGGATTTATCACTAGCGGATAATGAGGAGAGGTAGGAATTGTAGGATTGGGTTTTAAAAGTTTCCAGTTTCTTTTTTACCTGTTTGGAATAATAATTATACGATTTCCGGTCATCAGGATGCCTAGTTCTTTGCCAAAGGGTCCTAGAGCAACGTTTGCTATGGATTAGGTCCAATAGATCTTGAGGTAAAGGATTTATGTTATGGTATTTTTTGGGACGATCAGGTGAGGATGCAGTCCAAGCTGCTTGCTGGATCAGGGTAGTGAAGGAATGCACTGCATCGTCGAGGTCTTCAGGTGTTTTTAAGGAAACTCTGAGGTCAATATTATCTTCCAGTATTTGACGGAAAAGGTTCCAGTTAACTGGCCCCCTGATAAATGAAGGTGGGGATGATTTGGGAATGGGAGATGTGGAAACAGTTAGGACTAGAGGACTATGGTCTGAGGAAAGATCATCAAACCTTGAAATAGAACAGTGTAGTGATCCTAGACCTTTGTGGAGGAAAAAGTCTAGAAGGTCGGGATTGCGGTTGGGATCTGTTGGCCAGTATGTGGGTGTATTAGGTGAAAGGATGTTGCTGCGATGGGAATTAAGTGCAGATAGCAATGTTCGGCCTCGGGAATTTGTAAATCTGGCTCCCCATTGCTGGTGTTTTGCATTTAGATCTGCACCTAGGAGGAAGTGGTGTCCTAAGGAATTCAGGAAGGAAATTATTTGGGATTCGGAAATGGGTGTTTTAGGTGGGGAATATGCCGCAACTAGTGTTATTGGGTAAAGGGGTGTTTGGATTATTACGGCTGTGGATTGTAGGAAATTATGGCTTGGTAAGGGAAACAAATGATGGAAACGGATCGATGGATAATTATGGCAGTGCCACCATGTGCTGTTCCATCAGGATGGTCGGTTCGATAAATATTGTAGCCGGGCACGTTGATTTGTCGTTTGTTGGTTAGTCGAGTTTCAGTTATTAGTGCTATGTCGATGTTTTTGTCATGTAATAAGATTGTCAGTTCGTTGATGCGGTTCCGAATACCATTCGCATTCCAGAGGAGAATGGAGAGGAATTTGGTTGAGGACATTTATGGATTTCTTGGCAGTGGAATGAGGTTGGATATAACATTGGTAAGTAGCGAAATAAGGGGGGTAATGAGAGATCTAAATTCGGAAAGGAAAGATGTCAATAGGCTTGTGAGGTCAGTGGAATTGGAAGGAGGAGGAATGAATGTGTGAGTATTTAACCTACGTTCAGGGATGGAGGGATATGGGTCTTGAGGTTGATGTGTGAATTCTTGAGGTTTAGATTCTTGTGGCAGGGCCTGAGATTGAGTGTTTACAGTGTCTCCTTTGAACATCTGAGCATAGGACACTCTTCCGTTCACTGTTCTATAGGGTTGTCTTGGTGGCCTGGATGTCCCTTCTTCTCTAGGCGTTGCGTATATTCGTGTTTTCAAATCTTTGTAAGTTTGACAACCCTTGTAGTTGGCTGGGTGTCCTTGGTGGCATAAAGCGCATACTGCAGGTGAAGTTCTAGACTTCCTACAGTCCTCTGTTTTGTGTTGCTCACCACACCTCACACATCTAGGAATGTGATGACAATACCGTTTCGTATGGCCATAAGCCTGGCAGTTATGGCATTGAACGATGTCGCGCTTGCTGTAGGGCTTTTCTACAACAACGCTTGTATAATAAAGGCGTGTGACCTTGTAGATGTTTTCGACATCAGGTGTTCGGTCTAGGTCAACGAAGAATAGTGGAAGAGGTATTTTATTTTTTATTCCAGGCTGTTCTCTATCCTCCTTAAATATGTTCACTATCTGGCGAACATGGAATCCCATACCCGTGAGCTCTTCTTTTATAGCATCTGTTGGCGTAGATGGGTGCAGTCTTCTGATAACGACCCTGAGTGCCCTCTCTTGACGCAGTTGATACGTATGGTAATCAGCCTTGGTGTCAGATAAATATTTTATGATTTTTCTATAGGTTCCTGGAGTGTCGGGCATTAACTTAGTGTCATTGGTGCGGCTTTGGCATAAATATTTTCCTGAACCTACCAGATTATTCAATTGATTACACATCAATTGAAAATTTTTAATATTTCTAACAAATATTGGTGGGGGTTTGGGTTCTCTGGGGATGGATGCTGCTTCCATTTGTTCGTTGTTTATATTTGAAAGCACTTCAAATGGATTCGAAGTGAAAAACGGCGATTCTTCACCCATAGCTTGAGTTGTCTCATAATTGTTGGGTTGTTGTGAGGAGCCAGGTTGGGGTTCCACTTCTTCTATGGAGCTCCCTGGTGTGGCTGGTGGAGTGTTTCTTTTCGAATGCCTTGTCTTTTTTTTAATGGGAGAACTAATTGTAGTATCCAGGCTCCTGGACCTAGTGTTTTTGCCCTTACTCGACATTAGCATGTGATAATATCGCATTTCATATTTATTTTTAAAAGAAAAATTGATAAAAGTGAAGAGAGGAAAAAGAAAAAAATTTTATTGAACACGAAAATATAGACGCGCTCTTGGAGAGCACAGATCTGCCTCCGACGGAGGGATCTAGCCCACTGGTATTAACGACTGTTGCAGCTTGTGGCTGGCCGTTATCTAACTAACCTAAGGTCTATTTACACTGTTCACTCTTGTGTTGTAAATAAGTGATTACTCACCTTATTTTTTTTGTCCAGTATAAACGTAATTGTTAATGTAACTGATAGCACTAATTGTTCACATTAAACTTGTATACTGCCACTGATAAATGAGATTTTTATAAGAGACGACCTGACGTATGTTTAACTAGGGCTAACGCATGCGCAGAACTGAACAATGTACATTAGACAATAAATTGCAAATTTAAATACCTTTGATAACAGAAAAGTATATATATATATATATATATATATATATATATATATATATATATATATATGAAGATGTATTGTTTTTATTTTTTTCAGTCCAAATTTTTTACTTTCACTTACCTATATATGTAATGTATACTAAGGGTAGGTATTGCGATCGTTAAAATTTTTGAAACTGAGTATTCAACGGAAATACATGTTTTGAGATTCCCTGAGTCCAAATGACCAAGTCCCACAAAATGGACTGTCTAGTGAACAGTCTAGTTCAAAAATGAAAAGTCTTACGGGAGTGAAATTAAGGTTTTTATGTGCTAGGTATATTACAGCAACTTTTTCGTTAAAATTGGCTAACCGGAAGTTTCACTTTATATAATGGACTAAACACATTTTTACGATTTTCTCGAAAACAGCTCTAACACGATTTTGATTAAATTCATCATATCAGTGTAAAATTAAGTAGTTTTAAATAAAATGTGGTTATTATTATGATTGATGTACACTAACAGGACTTAAATTGTTTATTTTCAATATTAGCTTCCCCTAAAGTATCTTTAATTTTTTTATTTGATACAATTGACCATTTCACATTAATTTCTAATATAAATATATAATGGTTAAATATAAAATATGAAAGAACCAGATTTTTTATTATGGTCCTCGACGTATCGATTCAAGCATGCCAATCATCATCAGGATTAAAAGTTGATAATTAAAACCCTTCATGAATGGTTAAGGATTGAGTACAATGTGAGGAAGTACTGTTACAAGGCCAACAACGCTTGTGCAGAGAGGTGACGGGCCAATATCACGCTCAACCGCCAGGTTTTCCTCCTTAATTAATTATTTAATTAAGAGTACCCAATTTATAGAGGCTGTGATTTTCCAAAAAATTGATGCAAAAATGTGTAAAAGTTTAAAATGGCCCTCATAGGAGGTAGGATTAATGATTGTAAACACCTAGGATGTGAGAGTCACTTTTTCGACTTTTCTTTCAATTCGTTATCAAGTTTTAAATTTCTCTCAATAATAATATAAGCTCGTTCAACGGCAACTTGAACTCTCACAAAAAAAAAATAGAGAAGGCCAGTTGGTTCTTGGGAAAACCGGTTTAATCAAGTAGTTGGAATTTCCTTCAGACTTTGAAGAATATTAAAAAAAAACAAAAGTGTTTTATTTCATTCATTTACCGCCGACATTTCCTGTTGCACTTGTCTGGTCCAAGTAATATTACATAATAAAAAATATATTTGAACTCAAAAACAAACCCGACTACAACAATCGCGAAATCCTGTCCACCCTAAGTGAATGTTTCTTGCATATCTACTAAACCAACTTGGCAGATTGATAGAGAAATTGACATCTAGCTTTGTAATAGTTATACTTGGTGTAGTGGTGAGATAATCTTCCTTCCCCGAACGGTGATATTTTTGATTGGAAAGTTTGAAGTTTGTGTAACTTAGTGTGGCCTAACTGTTGCAAGACCAAGACCAGGACTTGAAAAAAAATATCTATTTTTTAAATAAAAATTGAGGCAACATAGTTACTAATATATGACAATCTTAGTTACTATATGTTAATAATTGGTATAACCAATATACTTTTGCATTTAACTCCTTTAATTTTTCATTCGGGCTTACTTAGGTTTCTTCTGTCTAAACATTTACAGTAATATCTCTGTAGTAATGAGCTAATAAGTAACTGCGAGACTCTTGCGCAAGACCAAGACTGAGTTTGCAAGAAAAGACTTGTCTCGGTCTTGCATTTGGACAACACTTGTGTAACTGGTTCTTTTTAGCTAAACCGTATATCTGTGAGGAGTAAGTCCATATTAGTTTAAGTAAGTATAGGTATGTATTCAGTTTCTGTCTCAGTTCTAGTTTAGAAGATTTGGAAAAAGTGAGTATTTTAAAGGAGAAGAAATAGTTTGAGTCGTTTCATTTTGACGTGTGGGCCCCATTTCGTCCTTCTGTCAAAGGTAAGACCAATGTATTGTACGGTATCCTTCTGAGGAATTTGGTTGTTTTCGATATAAAATGGAGGGTAGGTATTTCTTCGAAGTGTAAATGTAATGTATTTCGATTTATCGTGGTTTAGTCGAATTTTTCATAATTTGTACCATTCTTGTAATTTATCTAAATGATGTAACGTCAGTGAGGGTCATGATGATCTTTCGTAGGGTCATGATGTTTTGTGAGAATTGCTATGTCGTCAGCATAAGTAGCACTCAATGTCTCTCATAGGTTGTAAGTTTATGCGATATATAGTAGTGGAGCCAGCAGTGAACCTTGGGGTACTCCCGCTAGGACAGGACGAATAGAAGAAATTTTTGAACCCTGCCGAAATGAGAAAAATTTATCGAAAAGGAAAAATTGAAGAATCAGAAAATATGTGTGCGGTAGTATGGACTTGAGTTTAAAGAGAAGTTTGTCCAGACTTTGTCGAGCGACATTTAAAAATACACCAGTTCCATACAGTTTTTGTTCTAAAGCTCCGGCAGACAGTTTTTGTTTTCTGTCACTCTGTGCAATTGATGTATTGTTAAATGAAATGTGCGAAAGCCAAACTGATGGTCAGGAATTATTTGTTGGTCAGTCAGTATGTCAACACTTTTAAGAATATTAATTTTTCAGCATGAGTGAGTATTTCCACTGTAATTGAAATTGTGATGTACTCAACATACAGTTGTAAATTTTTGTCAGAAATACTAGAGCATCTGTTGGACCGCTCGGCTGTAATTAAGTCACAACTAGGAAATAATATGATTTTTTTTTGTTACACTGATCTTAAATAAGCAATTTAATTTTAGTATGACTTTTCGTTTTAGAGCTAGATTGGTAACATACAAATATATACACAGTCCATTTTGCGAAACTTGGTTATTTGGACTCAGAGGACCTCAAAACGTGTATTTCCGTTAAAAATTCAGATTTGAAAATTTTCACGATCACAATACTTTTACTTACTGTATAGCCCTGGATCCAGAGCCCAAAAATCGACCTGATTGCAGGCGAAAGTTTGTAAATTACGAAAGTGTTTGTTATTCTGAGTAAAAAAAAACCTTGTCTGCCGTTCCAGAGCCGCTGCTTTCAAAAATGGTGGCTGATTTAAAGAATATTAGGCCAATAATTTGAGGATCGAAACGGGAAATCCATTGCGAAAAATGTTATATATGGGTTTAGACATATAAAAAACAAAATTTCTAAAGCGCGCCACCAAGGGAAAACTTTTTACAGCCAAAAAAGTCAGTTTATTCGATATTTTGGGTTTTTCATCCTATAACTCCTAAACGATGCATCAAAGCGAAAAATGTATTCTTTAATAAATTAAAGATCGTTAAATTTTGCGTCAAACGAGTACATAAACTTTAAAATTTGGTTTCGCGGTAAGGTATAAAACCACGGTCAACCAATGCTGAGTTTTACGAAATTTGTCAAAAACTGAGCCAAATTACTATAAATGGCTCTGTAACTTGGAAATGAGTTCCCTAAGGGGAAAAACTCCTAGAATCAAAGTTGTAGAGCATCAAATTTTACGTATAATGAGTACATTTTTATTGTTGGCCAATTATATATCTCGAATCGGGATTCGTTATTTCTTTATAATATTCGGTATCTTTCGGCACATCCTTTACCAAAAGCTATATAGAGGTGGAAAAGAGGCTTATACTGCATGTAACAGACTTTAAACAAAACTAACTCATTAGAATAGACACCCATACTGTTGAAATATTGAAAATCACGTTTACCTTCATTACCAATTTCTAACCATCGGGAGATTACCGACTTTGTTGGCAGCAACTGACCTACATTAAATTAGTTGATACTAAGTATACACGAAATTTGATGCTCTACAACTCAATTCTATGGGTTTTTCCTCTTAGGGATCTCGTTTCCAAGTTACAAGGCCATTTATAGTAATTTGTCTCAGTTTTTGATTGGCCGTGGTTTTATACCTTACCGCGTTACCAAATTTTAAAGTTTATGTACTCTTTTGACGCAAAATTTAACGTTCTTTAATTTATTAAAGAATACATTTTTCGCTTTGATGCATCGTTTAGAAGTCATGGATGAAAAACCCCAGAAATATCGAATAAAACTGACTTTTTTGGCTGTAAAAAGTTTTCCCTTGGTGGCAATTTTGTTTTTTATATGTCTAAACCCATATATAAAAGTTGAAAAAATAAAAACTTTTTTCACATTTTTCGCAATGGATTTCCCAATTTGATCCTCAGATTATTGGCCTAATATTCTTTAAATCAGCCACCATTTTTAAAAGCAGCGGCTCTGGAACGGCAGATAAGGTCCTTTTTACTCAGAATAACATACACTTTCATAATTTACAATCAAACCTTCGCCTGCGATCAGTTCGATTTTTGGGTGGGGGCTATATTTTATATATAGATAAATGGAAGTAAACACTAGTTTAGTTTCTTATCCTTACCTAAGGCTTTATTTCCGTTGAATAAGTTTTCGAAATAGTACGACTGCTTGGTTGGAGTGATGTCCGCAGTGAAAGTTTTGGCATGGAAATGTTTCTTTCCGTCCTTACCGGTAATTTCTTCTATATCAATGGCGGCAGCGATTGCTGCATCATCTGAAATAGAAAAGTTGTGTTAGTATTTATCTCAGGATTATTAGCATATAAATGAGTAAAAATAACGGATATATATATATTAGAAGCAAATTTCCTTATCAAAGTATAAATATACAAAAAAATACACTGTCATATGTAAATGAGCTGGACGCTGAATCGAAAGATTAAACATTCAAACATAAGAAATATAGTTGGATTAACCTCTAAGTGCGCTTAGACATTTCAAAAACTATGGGAAAACAAATATTAAAATTATATCCCTTTGTAAATGTTTTTATTTCTTGTTTTTGATGTTTTCCACCTGCTGTCGGTATCAAGAGATATAACAAAAGTTTGGCTTAGCAAAATAATGTCGCTGTTATTTATGTTAAATAATTGTATTTCCCAGAGTTTGTGAAATGTTTAAACGTATTTCCAAATGTTCAATTTGGTACTTTAAAAAAAAATCAGTTTCTATTCTTCGGTGAAGATTAGGTTGTGTTGGGAATGGAGAAAAATCATAGGAACGCCGTCCTCCAGCTCATACCAATGTATATCTTATACTATTTAGATTACAATAGTGTGTTCAGCTAGAATTTTTTTTTTCCAGCAACTAATTTTTCATTAATTTAATGATTTTGGTTCCAAGTTTCAGGGCAATTTGTAGTAATTTGTGAAATTAGCGTTCATTAACCGTGGTTATCGCCTATATCACTTAATTAAATTATAAAGTTTAGGTACTTCGACGCACAATTTGACGTTCTTTAATTTCTTAAAGATACTAGACTGAAACGACAAGAAACCGCTGGACATTTCCGATTACTAATATACTAATATGGCTACAATAAGGCCTATTTGGACTTACGGAGTTGAGCTATGGGGCCCCACTAAACCATCGAATTCCTCTCGTATCCAATCCTTACAATCCAAAATCTTCCTAACATCCTCAATGCTCCTTACTTTGTCACAAATAAAACCATCCATTATGACTTTAATGTTTCTTATGTTTCAGATCTGGCCCAATCCAGATACCTATCCTTCAATTATAAATTTTAGAATCATCCCAACCCTCTCGTTTCTAATCTTGCTTCCTCTTCAATTCCTGATAACCCTCCGAAGCGTCTCAACAGAAGATGGTTTCGTGATATTCTAATGTATACATATCATTAGAGTGCTACCATTGGGTTATTACTCAGCAACACAGGCGGATCTATGGGGGGGGGGGGGCTTTCGTGCTGAAGCCTCCTTCCAAAATTGTAAAATTTAACCATGTTTTACAGAAAAAAATATTAAAAACTATCTCTTAAAGTATTCTTGTTCGTGTAATTATATTTAATAGGACTTCAAAAACCACTTAAACACCATTTCATATAGATAATTAATTTCTTTATTTTTTTTTCTAATTAATTATCGTAATATGCATATGAAAAAAAAATCTTTCGGGCTGAAGCCCCCCCCCATAATTAAATCCTGGATCCGCTAGTGCTCAGGAAGTGTTTTCATTTCATTATATCCATATGTTCCAATTTACTAGATTTATATATTTAATACAGTTGTAAATATCATTAAGAAATATAAATAAAAAATCGTAACGAATACGTTTTTCGCTTTGATTGATAGTAGTAATACATGAAAAAAAAAAGATCAAATAAATCTGGCTCTTTTGACTGTAAAAAGTTTTCTCTTGACCCGTAATTTTATTTTTTACATATCTTTTTTTAAAATTTCTTTATTAAGATATATATCTGTCTCATTTAAGGACAATAGTAATAGTGATAAATAGTAGCTCATTCACACTATGGACAATAAATAGACAGCAAAATAATAATAATAAAAACAAATGTATATAAACTTAACATAAAGAAATTAAACTAATCAAAATAACTACATAAATATACCCATGCTTTTATAACCCCTCCCCTGTTGGTAGGAAAGGCAGGAATATAGGAGATCCCAGCACCTCTCACTCAGTCGAATCACTGGTAATTTACCTGTCTAAACTTTTATACGGGGTCCCTTAAGTAGAGGGAAATATTTAAAGGAGTGATAGCAGAACTCGAGTTTATATAAACAATGGTTCGATTTTCAAGAGGAAAGTAGGAAATTAAAGTTTTGTGATTTTTTAAGTTAGTTGCGTTTTTTTTTTGGATAGGAAGTGATAATTAAAAAACTATTTAATACACATAATCAAAGACTTCTTTACTGTAACCTAGACAAGATGTACTTTAAACAAAAATAGAGTTAGCTTTTGCTAAACCCATTAAAAGAGGACTTTTGAGCGGCTAAACTCAGCTTTGGAGTGGGGGAAGATGGGTAGTGGTGGGGGAGCTAGTTGGGTAAACAGGTGCGCCTCCTCCCCTTTCTGAGATAATTCCTGAACCCACCGCTGGCTTCCATCAGAGCTATTTTACGATTGAAAAAGGAGCCTAATATCTGAAATGAACTAACAGCTGTTATTGAGCACTCCTGTTGGTGGATTAGGTACATATATAAATTAATATTAATGATTTTGTTTAAGTTAGTAACACAATTTCTTGGAGAATATCTTCTTGAAGAATGATATTTTCAATAATAATGTTAGCTCATAAATGAAAAGCTAAAAGCGATAGCACTCGAAACTATAGCTCAAAAGTATCCTCCTTAGGATTAGCTTCACATTTATACCGATAGATCAACTGAATCCGTTAAAAATTCTGGGGCAGGAGTTTGCTCGAGAGAGTTTCAGTTCAGTGCTGCGGTCAGTGAGGATGGTACAAACTCTGACGGTGAGATAGCAGCGATCCTCATAGCTCTAAGAACATTATCAGGAAGGCAAGTTCTCAAGCAGCAATCCTCGCCATTACTGACGTCAATAAATGTCTGCTGAGTGCAATCTTGGAGTGCAAATCCCTTCTCTACGATCGAACGCTCCGAGGCACCAATGTGGTCCTACAGTGGATTCCGAGCCATTGCGGTATTCCAGGAAATGAGGAAGCGGATAGTCTCGCCAGGAGAGGAGCAGCATTGCCTCAAACAGTCCATCCAAATTCTTACGATTCAATTCGACGAATGGTGGGGATGGTAGTGAAGGAAGAAACAAAAAATATGCACAAAGACCAGGTGGAGGGAGACGTTATGGATGTTTGGTGGAAAACCCGATCCCAACTGACCTACCAAGAAGAGATGCAGTAGCCTGCTTCCGCCTGGCCACTGGTCAGGACTATCTACAAAGTCATCTCCACAAGATAGTTGTGGCTGAGTATCCTAGCTGTAAATTATGTGAACAAGTGGAAATGGATGCAGAACACCTAAACGAATGTTCTGGTTTGTCGGATATTTGGAATAAAACATATGTAAATGATTATATAAAAATATCAAACTTATACTGGGCAGAAAGATGTCGGATGATCGAATGACCAATGACTATGGCATATAAAAAAAAATAAAAATAAATGAATAATACATTACAATATTTAATATTATCAATTAAACGCGGCACTTACCAATATGAACTTTAGCGTCGCCTTCTCCTTTGATGGGGAGCGCCAAAATCTTTCCATCGATCCTGTATTTACCAATGACGTCGAGTGATTTACAATGACCGTCGCCTTCCAGTCTCTTCCAATCTTTGTTCCTAAGAAAAATTACATATTATTATTTATTTTATCTTATTTCTACAAACATGTATTTCTTCATTGAATAATATTAAATTTATTCACAATTATTTTTTTTTTTTATATTTATTAAAAATAAATTCCAATAAATCCCATCAAATCACCTTTAAACTTCGTCGTAAACCTATGTCCTCTTGTCCTACAGTATTCTTTAATAATACCCCACTTATACCTGTTGAACAAATTCGCTACCTTAGACTCCTCTTAGAAAAACGTCTAACTTGGAATCCTCATACCAGACTGAAACGACAAGAAACAGCTCGACGTTTTCGACTACTCCAGCACTTACTAGACAAACGCTCTAAGCTCCCAGTCAATTACAAAAGACTCATATACATAACCACAATAAGACAATATTTGGACTTACGGAGTTGAGCTCTGGGGCTCCACTAAGCCATCGAATTCCTCTCGTATCCAATCCTTACAATCCAAAATCCTTCGTAAAATCCTCACTGCTCCTTACTTTGTCACAAACAAAATCATCCATAACGACCTTAATGTTCCTTATGTTTCTGACCTGGCCCAATCCAGATACCTATCCTTTCATAATAAACTTCATCATCATCCCAACCCTCTCGTTTCTAACCTTGCTTCCTCTTCAATCCCTGACAAACCTCCGAGGCGTCAGAAAAGAAGATGGCCCCGAGATCCCCTTTTGTAAATACATTTTTTGAGTAGTTTCTCAACAAGTGATTTCGTGCTATTATATTTCTTTTTTCACATTTACTGAATGTATTTTAACTTGTAATACAGTTGTAAATATCATCAATAAAAAAAATATATATATATATATATATATATATTTATTGAATAATAATACAATCAGCCACTGTTGGAGGGCTATAAGTATTAGCGCTAAAAGTTCTCATTCAAACAATATATACAAATTTTAGACAAATAGTTTGACTATTATTTTTACTATTTATTTGATTTTCTCTTCGCCTCAGTTCGCCTCTTTTACTTTCGGGTATATATGTTTATATTTTATTGAATATTTAATAGTTGACCGTTGCATTATAAAGGAAGGAGATGGTCCGGGGTTGCGGTCATAAAAAGGCTAAATAGTGGTAAAACTATTTTATTGAAAGCCAACGTTTCGACCCGACTTTGCAGGTCCTTCATCAGGGAGGTGTGTACATCTAGGAGTTTCACTTAGAACTCTAGAAGTGAAACTCCTCAGTTCTAAGTGAAACTCCTAGATGAACACACCTCCCTGATGAAGACCTGCAAAGTCGGGTCGAAACGTTGGCTTTCAATAAAATAGTTTTACCACTATTTAGCCTTTTTATGACCGCAACCCCGGACCATCTCCTTCGTTTATATTTTATACTTTTTGTCTCTCTGTGTACTAATATGAATATGTACGTATACATAGTTCCTTTTTTTTTCTATTACATCACAAGTAATCCTGAGATTTGATTTTATCTTAGTGTTTGCATATTATCATATAAATCATTGTAGATATTATTACATTTTGTATTAAGTTATTTTTCTATTAGATAGCTTATTGTTTATAAGTTGTGTAGTTATGTATATATAAATATGTAATTTCTTTTTTTTTTTTTCTTATCACAATAATCAAGTAATTTTGAGAAGATGTTTATTTTTTAGTGGTTACATACTTTTTAAATAATGCATATAATATTAGAATTTTTATAAGTTAGTTTTTGGCCAGATTTGTATTAATTCATCATTGTTATTTTAATGGGACTTAGTCCCAGAATAAAGTTAAATTTTCTATTATATTCTATTCTATTCTACAAATAATAGAGAAATAAATATAAATATAAAAAGTATTATAAATAATAATAAAATAAACAAATAAAAACTTCTAAACACATTCATACCTATCTTCTCAATTAAGATGTGTAGTTATAATGTAGGGTTGTTCATTCACACTCTCTGTACAATAAATTAAATAGAAAAATAATACTACTAAAAATGTATGAAAACAAACCAACTAAAATAATGAAAATAACAACGTAGTAAATGCGAGCTTATTTTTATACTATATTTACGAAGTATATTTACTCAGGAGAACTCCAAGCCATTCCTTTCCATACCTTTTCTTCCGTTCATGGAAAGAAAGGCCGAACTCTAAGAGATCCCAGCTCGTCTCTGGTATTAAGGAACGTGGAGGCCGAGCAGAGGAGATATAATATTATTATTTTTGAAAAACTGTTATAAATTAGGCTTAAAAGCCTTATAAAATTCTATCTTAGCAATATCCCTCTCCACTCCCCTCCCCCCTCAAAAAAAATAAAAAAAAATAGTAAATTTACTAGATATGTATATCACAGAAACATTAAATAAAGTTAGAAGACGGTAATTCCATTTCACCTGCCCTATTTAATTTGGCATTTGTGAATGGTATGCGAGAGGTGATTCGGACTGAAAAAAGTTTGAATCTCGTTGAAGCCATATGCGATCGTCCCGTTTCTCCCCCAATATTACTCCTCCTCATCTTCCAAAAATAAGAGTGGCCCAAAAATTAAAAAAAAAAAATAACACGAAAAACAAATAAACGTTTTTGAAGCACTTGTAATGTACTCTCTTATTTTCTGCCTGAATGCCTCATAGTACGGATTTGGTAAACGTTCTTTGCATTTATAATTAGCACAAAGGGCTGTGAACCTTCTTAAAGATAGGAAATATTAGGTCCATGTTTTAACCAGATTCGATATTAATATCGCTCTATAACTATCCATACCATCGAAATATCTGACTTGAAATATGAATATCAATATAAACATTAATTCTCTGCCACATAGGCGCATAAAAAATATGTTAGTTTCATCTTTGAATTAATTGATAAATTAATTCAACAAAAAAAAAAAAGATCATAATATTTATAGTTTTTTTCTGTATATATGGTATGAATGTGTTCATATATCACTATAATAATTGTCCAGATGACAGATTGTTATGTTTAAAATAAATAAATAAACATTTATAGAGTAAAGTGTCTTCAGAACAATTATCTATTTAAATGTTAAATTTAATCATACCTTTTTAATTTTACCATAATATATCAACTGTGAGACGGATGTACATGTACGGATGTAAACAAATGTATTTATAATTGCTGATAAAAGTAAAATTATAATATTATAATTATAAGACATTACAATTTTAATTTTAAATTATAACATTTTTTAAAGGTGATATATAAATTTATTTATTAAAATAATGAACAAATAAAACTGAACTGAGAACTGTTTCGGAAAACTGTTTAAATTAAACGGATTCAGTGTTGTCTTTTTTTCCCGTTGGGGTCGCTGTCTCCACCTACTAACCTGTAAAGTGAGTTGTCTTGGTTAGGTTCCTAAACTCAGCACTGAGTTCTTCGATGTCTTCGTTTTGCTCCGTTTAGAGATCTATTCGATGGCATCGATGAGCTAATCACTGATTTTAACAACTTGCCCCCTCCCAATGAAAAATAATGCTTGTATCTGTTTAATCTCGAGTGAAACTGTTTACTGTATCTGTTTAATGAAAGAAAATGTTTAAATTAAACAGATTGCTTCTAACCACCCCACCACTAGTGCATGCTGACATCCGCACCCTTCGGAATACGCTATCAATGATGAGTCTCAGCTGATATCTGGTTCTGAGGGTCTGCATAACCATGAAGCTGTTATCAGCTGGACCTGTTGGATAGCCTGAAGATTCCTGGACAGCCCACCGAAACGTTTTTCCAGGAAGCCCGCAGACTCGTTTTCAATTAACGCAGTCATTTGAGCGACTGCCACGGTTTGCAAAATTTAAAAATGTTTAATACAAATGAAATATTGTTAAAAAAAAAAAAAACAGAGGAAAACCAATGCGATTGAACAGAAAACTGGAGATAAACTGATATGAGGTCCACGTTTTATTTTAATATTTGTATTGCTAATCCTTGAGAGAATCATTGAGATTTCTTCGAAAAGATTATTGCATGGTAATCCTCTTTGACCTGTCAAATACCTGTTATTACTCCGGGCTCATAAATATTTCTTAATAATGCAGTTTTATGTAAAATTCAAGGTGCACTGGTTGTTTTTTTTTTTACCACCAGTTTATATATTTGTCTACTTTCCTTTAGCCGTACAACTCCCAATATTATATATTTATAATAACTCCCAACTCTGATCAGTCGAGAGGTCTTTGACTAAGGGTTCTAATTTGTTCTTTAATTCAATATTGAATTGTTTTTAAACTCTTTATTTCCATTTGACCCATCATTTTGTTCACTTCTTTTAATCTCTGACACAGCTAAATTCTATTTAAAGTTTTTTCCGTACCACTAGCGGATCCAGGATTTGATTTTAGAGTCCTACAACCCGAAAGCCTTTTTGTTTTCATTTATATAAAACGATAATTAATTTGAAAAAAAAATACTTTAAGAGATAGTTTTTAATATTTTTTTACTTTCACTTGCCTTTATATCAAATATATAGTAAAGGAAAGTATTACGATCGTGAACATTTTCGAATCTCATTTTTCAACGGAAATACACGTTTTTTGGTCCTCTAAGTCCAAATAACCTAGTCCTGCAAAATGGTCTGTGTATGTGTTTGTTAACAGTCTAGCTCAAAAACGAAAAGTCTTGAGAAAGTGAAATTGCATATTTAAAGTTTTTATATGCTAGCGATATTACAGCAAGCTTTTAGTCAAAATCGGCTAACCGGAAGTGGCACTTTATATTATGTACTAAACATGTATTTAAAATTTTCTCGAAAACGAAAAAAATTTGACCATTTCACATTAATCTCTAATATAAAAGATAGTTAAATATAAAATATAAAAGAATTCGATAATTAACTAAAGGAGAAATAAGAGATCGTAACAGAGAATAGTATTTAATTTGTAACACCGACTCGCCGAAATACGAGAACACGCTTCCATACTTAACATGAGCTTAATATAATACGGACTCCGGTTATGTGATTTTCATAAATGCTACTTAACGGTTTTATTTAATATTTAGTTTTATACAGTACAGTGATATAAATATTAAAACTTGTATATATAAGGGTACTTATACAAATAAAAATACCCTCAACGAAATATAAATAAATATAGAGTTTATTATTTTTACTTTTATTCCCCCTTTGTCTGAAAATACCTTTTTCACTGGGAGGGAAGTGAAAGTTGTGTAATGTGCGCACCAGATTTTTTTTCAATAAAACATGGTTATATTTTACCATTTTTTGGCGGGGGGAGGGGGCTTCATTCCGAAAGCCCCCATAAGGAACGTAGTTCATTTACATTTTCATACCTTCATGCCATACCCAGATGTAATTTTGAATTTCTTACTTTTCATTGTTAGTATTGTATGAATATATTTAAACAGGAATGTTTCGCATAAATTTGCATAGTATTTGTCAAACTGTAAATACGTTTTATTTTTATAAGCAAGTGCTTTTTTTGGTCAAAAATCATGAACTCATTACTAAATTAAATATAATTAAGGTACTCAAATTAAATACTCAAATAAATAACTATTTAATGAAGAAGAGCTTACTTTAAGGTGAGCAGGACACAGGTGCTCAACCCCACGATGTCGGTGTCTTTGAACTCCAACTTGATGCTGACTGGTCCCGAACCTTGGTCTATCTTCAGCTCCAGGATCCTCAGGGGGTCCAATGGGTTAACGGCCAGCGTTTTGCTTCCTGTTGATAAGAGGAAATATTATTTAGAAAAATATGTTTAAACAATCCTTTTTCAAATAATTAATATTTGAAAATCAGCCTAAAAATGGTAATCCATATTTTTTACGATTAGCGCTATCGATACTGAAGATCTTTGGCCGCGAGATTTGGTCTTACAAACGAATATTGCGGAAGCGGAGATGACTTGGAAGGGTTCAAGTAATCTCACCGTAGTCCCCTTACGAACAATGGTCTCCATGCTCTAGCGGCAAGACACCTAATCCTTTTAGCGCCAATCTGGCATAGATTCATGGATTATGACTGCTCAGAGTCAGAAGGTGTACGAGGACCTATATTTCTTTTCCTGTAACAACCCATCCATGGACCAACCTTAGGGGACTACTGAGATCCTGAAAACCACATCTTCATTCCTCATTGTAATACACAAAGTATGTAATCACTCCTAGGACCGGTCTGTTGCCTCCAGTAGTATGATGGGTCTCACATTCCCCCACGGTCACCACGCTCGTCGTTGCTCAACTTTGATCCTCTATTGCAAGCGCCTAAGCCTTAAGCGATTATCGCGGCTTTCGATACTGTGTGATCGGATCAGGGCTTTTATCTTCCGAAATTTTATGATTTTTTTTTGCCATTTTATGGTGAAGCCTTATCCGAGACTAGTCGCTAACTGGATTTTCAGATTAAACACCCCAAAAACACATAGGGCCAAAAACGGCTCCAACGATTTTGATTAAATTCATTACATCAGTGTAAAATTAAGTAGTTTTAAATATTATGTAGGTTTTATTCTCATTGATGCTCTCTAACAGGGCTTAAACGGCTAATTTTCAATATTAGCTTCTTCCTTACTTAATAATAAAGTACCTTTATTATTTTTTTTTAAACAATTAACCATTTCACATTTGTCTCTAATATAAAAAAATACAAAATATGAAAGAATTTAAATTTGAACATTAGAACAGGCTTCCATAGTAATATAATACGGACTCTGACTATATTATGTAGATATGCATATGCGGTTTTCTTAAATGTTTTCGTTGGTATTATTTAATATTAAATTGTATAGATTACAGCGATATAAATATTAAAATCTTCTTTTTATTTATAATCTTTTTTTGCAGTCAAGGGCATGAATATGATAACAATAAAGTAAAAAATACAGTTGGTTATAACCGAAACTTAGAAAGTATATATCGTCGGTACTATGTTAAATGCAACGTTGGATAGGGTCGTATTGCTTACTTTAACATGGCGCCGACTATATATTGTTACATTCCAAGGAATTAAAACCAATAGATATATATATATTTATATACACTACTAATACTAACCTCCTTTCAGGGTCTGGATTGCTTTGTTCACTTCTTTAACCATACAGGGCTCGTATTCTTTGGAGCCAAGCTTGCATGGCTGCCATCCATGGGCTACAAACAAAAAATAATAATAATAATCATAAATAAATACACAACAACATTAGGACTATATCATACATAAATATATACATATGCTATATATATATAAGCAGAGACTGGGTAGATATACTAATCTATCTCTCTGGGCGTATTGGCTACAGAGCGTAACATATTGGGACAAATATTACAGCCAATTAACAGAGAATCCGTTTGTCAATTTAACTTAAATAAGATTTGGCTAAGAAAATATATGTACTCCCCTGTACATACACTTCAACAGCCCTGGTGAAGTTGTCGAAGCTTCTTCAGTATTGTGTGATGAACAAGGCTAACTTATACTTCAAATGGATTATGGAAAAGAATGACTACCTAATCTAATAGTTCCCGCTGGAATACTACTAGTATATGTATATATTGGGTTGGCAAATAAGTCTTTTCGGTTTTTCTGTTTATGTTTATGTTACTAAGATACACTTCTTATCTGAATTAAATTAATGAATTAATACCTAAGGTGAATTGTTTATCCTGTTTGTAGTATGTCAATAATTATATCTGTTAACTCTTGTTGAAACTAGCTTAGCATCGTGTTTGCTATTGCACTGTGAATATGGAAGAAAATACCATTCACTATCGGCATATTTTTTTGTATTATTTTCAAAAAAGGTCAGCTTACTTCAGAAGCTCATAGAAAAATTTGCAGTGTTTATGGGATGATGATGGGAAAAATTGGTTTGCCAAATTTCATTCAGAAAATTTTGAAATATTAAGGACATCGTTGATTAAAATCGCACTCAATCAGTGCGAGATTTCTGTATGTGTCCCATGCTCTCTACCGAAGTCAACTTGGAAACTCTCATTCCTGTTTGTGATTCACTATGGAAACGGAAACAAAACGACCCATTTTTGAAAAGCTTGGTAATAAGAAATGAAAAATGGATATTTTACGATAAAGTAGTTCGTAGAAAATCTTGGGGACCTATTAGTAAGGTTCCTAAAAGAATTTCCAAAACCCGGATTGCATCCAAAGAAGATAATACTTTCCATATATTGGGATTTTAAGGGTGTTATTTTCTATGAGCTATTGTCATCAGAACAAATATATATATATACATATATATATATATATATATATATATATATATTATATATATACATATGTATATATATATATACATATGTATATATATATATACATATGTATATATATAATATATATATACATATGTATATATATAATATATATATACATATGTATATATAACATATATATATATATATATATATATATATATATATATATGTTATATATACATATGTATATATATATATTATATATATACATATGTATATATATATACATATGTATATATATATACATATGTATGTATATATATATATATATAACATATATATATATATATATATATATATATATATATATATATATATATATATATATATATATGTTGCGTGAGATTAGTAATTGGTGCCCCGAGATACTACCATGTCTCTCACCACTACACTGAGTTAGAGTGGCTCTTCCCCTCCATTCGAAGACAATATTTCCTAGGTACATTCCTCTATCATATCATCAACAATCATCGTCCTTCCTACGCCTACAATCTTCTCCAATTCAAATCCTCAATCCACTCCCTCTCCACAAGATCTCGACCTTCCGACCTTTACATTCCTTCTCACAGATCTGCCTCGTTCCAAAACTCCTTTATTGCTCGCTCTGTTAATTTTTGGAATTCCCTTCCTATCAAAATCCGACATTCTTTATCCCTATCTACATTCAAAACCCTCCTATTCCAATTCCTGTTCCAAAAACAGTCAGATACCAGCTAACCTTTTATGTAAAATTACATATTATTTTTTATTTTATATTTTTTTTTCAACAGAAAAACAGATTTTACTGTTAAGAAGAATTTACATTTATTTTTTTTTTGTATTTTTTCTAAAAGGGTTTATTTATATTTTACCATTGTACATAGTTTTAATTATCTTAGGATGTTTTCGAGAGTTTTGTATATAGATTATTTTATTTTATTTTATTTTGTATATATTATGTATAACTAATATTTTTTTTTGTTTTTTTACTAATTTATCTTTATCTTTACTTTTTATGTTTGTTTTTATCTGGCCAGATGTAAAATTTTAATTTCTGTACTTTTTTGTTATTCTGAAGGGACTTCGTCCCAGAATAAAATTATTTTCTATTCTCTTCTATTCTATATATATAATATATTATATTATTAGGATTAGTACTAGTAGTAATCCAGTATTTATTTTCGTGTTTTCTAAAAAATTGGTAATAATCATTAGGGTTCACTTTGAACACAAATGACTGATATCTAGTGCAGTTAAAATTCTACAACAAAAACATACATGATATTAACCCTCAGGCCACTGACCTGCAAGATAAAAGTCCCTAACAAGTTTTATTAAAAGCGAACTGAATTCCATAAATTATTCATAAGGACTCCAGGAATATTAAATCAGCGAAATAAATTAAAACAGGGCTTTCTTTGCCACAAGGTCAACTTCCACCTTCCCTCACAAAATGGGGACTAAATTTAAGTTATGGCTAGTCTTGGTCTTGGTCTTGCTCAAGAGTCTCGCAACAGTCTTGCGGTTACCTATTAGCTTATTACTATAGAGATATTCCATTGGCCAAGAAATACACCGAACTATGTGGCTCGCCTTGAAAGTGGGAGATCTCCATTAAGTGTTGAAGTGTTGAAAAAAGTGATCAACTATTGGACAAAGCTAAGCTTAATGAGTGACGAAAGACTACATCGACAATGCTTTAATAGGCTCAGAGCTCTAGACTCATCCATTGGAAAACCTGATCCAACTTATAACTGGGTTACCCAAGTAAAGATGATTGTGGCGGAACTGGGATGTCAGGGGCTGTTTTCTTGTGTTTTCTCTCAAGGTCTGATGAGGTTCAAAGATGAAATCATGGAAAAAATAAGAAACCATCACGCATCCAAGGACATCGACAGAGTGTTAAACTCTAAATCAAACCCAAGATATAGAAAAATCTGCTCCTTTAATGTTACCAGACCAGAGGATTATCTTCAGTTCAGGGCTCTGAATTTAAACAAATTAAGAGCCGTTAGTCGTCTCAGAGTAGCAAGTAAAGATTTTATGAAAATATACTTAAAAGATGCTACTTTGACTATTAAATCCAGTGAGGTATGTGGTGCATGCAACTGCCTTGTAACTGACCCGGTAACTCATTTTCTGATCCAATGTATCAAGTTCAACGAGCCGAGAAATAAGTACTTGAAGGCATTTATCACTGAATCCAGAGAAGATGCTAGTGTGGAGGAGATACTGAAAATAGACACTACGAAAAAAATAAACCAACTGTATTATTTCATACAGGGCTGTTCATTGAACTGTTAAGTGGTAAAGTTAATCATATAACATATATTAATGCTTATTTATATTGTCATTTGTCTTATACCTCTCGAATAGTAAAAAAAAAAAATGTTTTACTAATTGTTATGTATATATATATATATATATATATATATATATATATATATCGTTTACTATTCTGTTATTATATTAGTCATACTTAATGTTGTGGACATTGTTATTGCTATGTTTGAATGCAGTACTAGACTCAAGATTTAACATTGTTTATTATACCATTATATTTATCTGTACAGGAATTTCCTTAGACAAATAAAATAAACTATCTATCTATCTATCTATATTGCAGTTATTTTTTAGATAGGAGAAACCTAACTAAGTCCGTATGAAAAATTATAAGAGTTAAAAAATATATTTGTTATAAATATTCTTTACATATAGGAACTAAAATCGTCAAGTATTAGTAACTATTTAATTTTTATTCAAATAGTCTTAGATTTTTTTTTTACCAGTCTTGGTCCTGCAACAGTTAGGCGGTCTTGCAAAGTGCAAGACCAAGACCGATTTTGGAAACAATAGTTCTGGCAGAAATTATGAACTCTACTACCCTACCCTGATTGCTTGAATTATTTTCATGAAAATGTAAATATTAGGATAAGGTATACATTTGATTGGTCACTATTTGGGTTTGGGTAAAAAAAAAAAAAATCATTATCAGTCCATAATATTCGAAATATAATTTTTTTTTAATAAATAGAAGCGTATTTATGAATTCATCTTTGTTTACAAAACAAAAACTCTAAACCTAAGACTACGACTATTGTACTCACTCCTTGCAAGAAATTCGAAATTAAAACTTAGACAGAAATTGAATAAATATACTTACCTACTCAAGCCTATTTGGACCTACGCTTTACAGATATATGGGACAGCCAAAAAGACTCACATACGTAAATTACAGACTTTTCAATCTAAACTTTCAGGACTATCACCAAGCTCCCTGGTACATCACTAACATTACTCTACATAAAGATTTACAGATGCCAACAGTTAACGACTATATACGAACATACTAGAAAAGATTTCATAATAACTTACACGGACATACCAACTCATTGATTCGAGGCATGGCCACAACTAACATGGCCGATAGCACCCGAAGCAGGCTTAAAAGAAGCTGGATGAGGGATCTCCTCCACTAACTATAAATATTACACTCAAGACAGGAAGGACGCCGCTGGGTACTCCTCTCCCTCACGCCTATTCCAAGACCAATCTCTTCATCTTGACATCACACTCGCTGATTGTTGGAATTTCTGACAGGTGTGAGTTGAAGAATCAAGATAAAAAAAAAATCTTTGTTTACACCCCAGATCATGAGAAAAAATAAGTTAAATCTTTGTATTAATTTATTTTAGTATTTTGTTTCTGAAATCACACGGGTGTTTTATTTATTTTAGTTGATTGAATATGAAATCACCGAAAGGACTTAACCCAATAAGTTTTAATTAAATCGTCGGTTTATTGCAAAAAGTCATTAAGTAAAGTTTTAATAAAATCGATATAATCGAATTTGAAGTTTCTGATTTATTTAAAAAAAAATAGATAGATAGTTTATTTTATTT